GCTAAATTGCGGAATACAGTGAGGAATGTCCTCCTTGATGTCAGCCTTCTGTTTGGAAACCTTCTGCCGTACTCGCGTTCTGCCGCGCAGCATTACCATCGCAAAAGCCATAAACAAATCATCATATCATAATTGTTCTACATCAATAATGTGTATTACTGATTACGTATTAAATTATTATTATTATTTTTTGTTTAAATTACTATGAAATTGACCAAAGTGGGATTAATTCAAGAGCGATTTTCTCAGAAACCGTTAAAGATAACGATTTGAAACAAGAGTACCTTTTTAACGTAAAACAGTTCGGGAAAACGGAATTTGCTGTCCAATTTGTTAAAAAGTCAAAGATAAAAAAGTTACACACGCAAAGTACCAAGGGCCCCCCCGTACCCACCCCAATGGACCTTGTGGAAATAAATGGATTACTCCATCAAATTGCTCATCAAAATTTAGCTGTGTATACCAAATTTCATTAATTTATCACAACGCGATTGAGAGATATTGCAAAAAAATGATTTCCATTCCTCCCTCTTCAATGGGTCCCTATGCCCTTAGGAAGCATTTCCGGACCCATGTTCATATGAACTTTTTTACTTAGTTTTGATCATAGAACGGCCTGTTCAGGGTTGGCAGCTAATTATGAGACACCCTGTATAGTATATCTAGACGAGACAGGGCAAAATTTTTCTGGACGTCTATGGAGTCCGTAGAATTTATGAGTTAAATGTTTTTATGCGGTTCCAATTGAGATCGTAACGACTATACGATGGTATTATAATAATTATTAATAACATTAGTTTGGACAAATTTAAAAATAAAATATTGAAACTGAAACCAACAAAACTTAAATAATTATATTCTTGTCACTTGTATCAATCCACCATTTACTTCTATGCACTTCTCAATTCTTTGACGTACATTTGTAATTACTTTTTGTATTTGGTTCGGGGTAATTTCTACACAGTTTTAAATTCTATTACAGCATTTCTTGCTAAACGCGCATTATCGCCAACAAGTACAATTTCTATTTGGTATATTTTCCATGGTTATTAGCACAAGATAAACTTTACTCATAGATCTAATATAGTATACTAAGTTTGTTACACACTAATTTGTTACTTTCGACTACCTGAATGTTTGTTTTGCTTCATGGATAACTTGATATCAACAATAAATTAATCAAAAAGAAGTAAAGACTTGTGAATTTTTGATTTGGCTACAAAATCGTTATTATTTAAAATTTTTTGATAAAATTTGGTACTGGTCTGTTTTGGGGGGTCCTGAATTCAGTGGCGTAAATATATTTTTTCTCGAAAAATCCCTAGTTTGAAATACATATTAGAATTTCACTCCTAGAAACGTACGTAGTATGTCTTGGATTTTGTGGGACCGCGCTCATTTTGCTTCACAAAGCACACTTCATCAAGCTCTACAACTTAAAAAACTCCGGTTGAAATCGCACAATTAATACAGATTTTACAGGGTGATTTAAAAGCAAATGGGTCACAGTTTATAACTGATGCTCCTACAATCTTATCTTCAATCTTATATCTGTGTCATTTCTACTGAGCAAACTTGAAATTAGTGAATCCTCCTTTTTACGTAAAAAAGTTGAAGGAAACAATTGCATCAGTGTGTAAAACTTGAAGCTAAATATTGTTAATTCTCCCCTGTATTAAAAAAAGTACTAAAGCACCATGAGATTATGTAGTTGTCTTGATATTTGATAACATTTATCGACTCATAAATTTGGAGGCCCTGTATAGTTTACATTAATGCAATTCAATACACATGTTGCTACGGTAGCCTAGCTTATAGAACCAATGTGCCAACATCGAAATGTGGGTGAGTATCTTTACAGAATATAAAACAGGCTGACTTAATATTTTATAACGATTTTTTTTTTCGTTATATGACCTTTTGCAAGTCTTTAGTCCAGAAGGACTTTTCATATCACACAAAGAGCGTTTCTACGCGTACACAATATTCAGAATTTGTTCTATAGTATGACCTCCATCTCTTCTATAATTCAATGGCAATATTCTCTCACGTTATCGGTGAATCATCACCTTGCAATCAAGGAAGAAGCTGCTAATGCAATTTGTTTGCTTCCTCATTAATTAAATTCAGTATTGCTATACATATAGGCCGTTTTGAATACGTGGGAGGCCGATGTAACAATAAACCACAGTAATAAGAGCACTATGAAAACCACGATAATACAGGCATTTGTCAAATTAAATCAACAAGCTTCAAATATTTTTTTCTCGAAATCGGTAAATATTTTATATTTTTTGAGGCATCGTAAACTAATTTCGTTGGATACTGATTGAGAATCCATTAACGAAAAGGGTTGCCAGAAATTGTCCTGTCAGTCCGACAAGCAACTGGAAGACGCGCGCAAAACAGAATAATTCAATTCCCTCAATACATTTCCATTTCTTTTGTCCAATTCAATCTAAAATAAATCAATAAACACATTTGTTTGATTCCCTGAGATGTTATCCGAGTATTTGTCGCGAACTTTTATAAAAAATAAGACTATAGGATTACATTTATGACCCTTTCTTTTCATGAATAAATTAGTAGTCAACAGGTAGCTTTAATTTTGAAAGTAATAAGGAAAAATACATACACACAACTTTTTTCGAATATAATTTGTGAGAAAAGCCTAAAAAATATTCATTAATGTATTTTTAAGAACGACCCAGCCAACCAAGAAAGAAATCCCAAAAGTTGATTTTAAAAAATTTGTTTGAATTTATTGCATATAAAATGACAAATGAGCATCATCTATAAATTTTTTTCTTTATCTTTATAAATTCTACATCTTTCGCTATCAGAAAAAAAACACCTTGCCATAATATATGTTATACTGACATAAAAAACAATGTTGTGGTGGAAATTACTCACGTTTATTTTTTTATTTGATGGTACAAAAAAATTTACTTACAAATACAGAAATATCTGACAGTATTTGCATCAGCCATATGTCGCTCTCTTTTCTGTGATTTTTTCACTGCATTTTTTAAGACTCACTGCGCTACCCTCACCGGAAGCGGTGCACAATAGAATAAGGATAAAAGCAGGAACTGGCGAAATTGTAACAGACACTAATCTTGATCCGCTGTCCCCATCCACCACTGACGTACTGGCCAGTGGCGTACATTTAGTGTGCGCCACTGGCACTGGTAATAATGACAATCGTTGACGATGTTCGTTTATTTTTTCACCGAAGGTAACTTTATTAACAGAAAAAAGTTTAATTTGTACCAAAGAAATAAAATATAGGTAATTCAAAAAAGTGGTAAAAAAATATTAGATGTATGTGTTTATAAAAATATTTTTTACTTAGATGTAAGAAAAGACACTATTTTTTGCAGTCTTTGTTCCCTTCATCTTTTGATGATGACCTCTTTGTTTTTTTACTATACAAAATTCACTATGATTTACAGACAACGCACAATAAATAATGTATCCTCCTTATCATTTTACTTTCGTACTTCGAAAAAAATAGTATGTGCGGAAGCTGCAAACAATTTAAAAAACAATTAAATGTCACATTCTGGAGAATATCAAATACAGCGCCATCTAGTTTTGGGATTAAAAATCTTTAAATTTGTATATTGGGTGCGTTCGCTTTCAAGTTTCAGGCAAAAGTCAAATATTGATTTAGAGTTATTGAAATTTCAAAACTTCTCATCTAACATTATAAATGAATTCCACTTCTATGTGAAGATAAGGTATCCTCAAATCGGTATCTAGTGAACCCAATTTCGTTGTTAATGTATCATTTTTTTTGCACGATTTAGTTTAGTTTTTTTTATTATTATTATATGTACATCTCTCAGTAACATGTAACAATAAATACATATAGTACAGAAATAATACAAAACTATATAATATTTAAACACTGGAAGTGTTTAATTCAATTCATGATGTGATATGTGAGTATACTATATTTACGACACAATTCAATTAAGACTTATTTCAAGGTCATAATTGTATCTATTAATAGAAATTCATGTATTTAAAGCAATTACCGACGAATAACGAAAGCGAACGTGTGTGTGGTGTGGCAGTTATTTTCTTACTCAATGTGAAATGAGTGTTAGTGAATGTGGAACCCGTCCCATCTGACATCTGCTGTTGTAGTCAGTGGCCGGATCATGACATTTTAACTCTTTGCCCCAACCCTATTTCGTCATTTATAGAGCAGTTTAGTGTACGATGTTAGATCTGATCAATTATTTTTACATAATTTCTAAACTTATTCGTGTATAATATTAAAAGTGAATTCATTATAATCGACATGGCAGACACAGCATTTACGAGAAACGAAGTAGTAGGTCTAGTGATTAGGTTAACTTTGGTTTCTGCTGTAACATTTTTAAGCATAAAATGGATCATGAATCAGGTGGATCCCACAAACAAGAACAAGAAGAAGGCCAGGAAGAGAGCAGAGGAACAGCTCAAAAGGTGACCCAAACGACGTTTTTTTTTATATATAATGATAGAGCGAATGTGTTATTGTAGGCTAGCCCATTCTGATTCGATAGCTGTAGACAAATTAAACGATTATGAAATGATGATCGCTGCCCATCTAATTCACCCGCAGGACATTAAAATTACGTGGGAGGATATTGCTGGACTAGAGAGCTTGATTCAGGAATTAAAAGAAACCGTTATCTTGCCGATTCAAAGAAAGGAACTGTTTGCGGATTCGCAACTAACAACTGCTCCAAAAGGTAGAAACGCTACTTACTTACAATTACCATTACATAACAAATTTTTTCGTAGGTGTACTGTTACATGGCCCCCCTGGCTGCGGGAAGACCCTGATAGCAAAAGCGACCGCTCGAGAAGCAGGAACTCGCTTCATAAACCTAGACCTCTCCATCTTAACGGACAAATGGTACGGGGAGAGCCAGAAATTAGCCGCCGCGGTGTTCACGTTGGCCGTTAAGATTCAACCTTGCATAATATTCATCGACGAAATCGACTCGTTCCTACGGTCGAGGAACAGTTCTGATCACGAGGCCACGGCGATGATGAAAGCACAATTCATGTCTCTATGGGACGGGCTGATCACGGACTGCAGCTGCACGGTTATCATTATGGGCGCTACCAACAGACCTCAGGACTTGGATAGGGCTATTTTGAGGAGGATGCCTGCTACGTTCCACGTTCCTATGCCGAACGCTTCGCAACGCAGACAGGTTATAAGGTAAGTGCTTATTTGAGTGATACTTACCCATATATTACGTGAAACGAATGCGACTTTTGTTTTATTGGGAATTATTTTCTTATAAAGTTACAGTTACCGTGAATACCCCAATTCCAAAACGTTAAAATTCTTGTCTGTATACAAACAAGATTAGAATGTACTAATAGTGTGTTAGTAGTCCACTAGATGGCGTTGCAGGGCCAAGTTTTAATAAAGTTCCTAGATATTGATAAAGTACCATTATTAACTGGCGTTTTGGGGGGAAATCCCCATTGACGACCTTACAAGTATAAGTTCTCATATTTTTATCCCATTAATTTTTACATAATATGTACATTCATTAAACAACACCTNCCATTATTTTTGTTAATTTTAAATTTAAATCTGCTATTTTGATCGCAGGAAGCTATGGTATCTCCACGAACGCTGAATACTGGGACACCTTATATATCGTTTATCATTTATTTCTGTGTAATATCAGCACGGTGTCCTGAATCAGTCCCTGGCCATGTACGATTTACTCACGGATCTTAGACCTATCAAGAGGTTACGTATTCTGATAATTTAAATTTGTTCCGACCCCATTCAATTCCGTGTTAACGACGTCCATGTCACACTGAGACTCTCCCAGGCCTAATACGAAGCGACAACACCAAAATACACCCTTCGCGACAGTTCCGGACCAAAGGAAGTAGGAAGGAATTTAATTAAACAAACGTTACCGGCCGACAAACCCTCGTTTATTACTAGATTTGTGTGCATTCCAGTCCCACGGTCTCCTCACATTTCAGCTTCCCCGAGGGGCCGCACTGCTGCTCCTCCCGCCCGCACTTGTCGGTTTCGGCGGGTCCCAGGTAGGGATCCTTCTTGACGGTGACGCAGAGGAAAGCGCCCGCCGCGACGCCCATCATCAGGAACAGCAACAGCACGCCGAAGCCTATGACGAAGGTGACGGTGTTGTCGGCGGCTTCGTCGTCCAGTCCGGCAGACGTCTGCGTGGAGTTCGACAGGGAAATGTTGGTCATGGGATGATGGCTTCATACCTGCAAGAAAAATTGTTGGACGGGTGAATAAGACGTAGATTAGTTGAAAATGTGATCTTTTTTACCCCAACACTGGATTCAGAACCCCCCAAAACGGGCCAATACCAAATTTTATCAAAAATTTTTAAATAATAACGATTTTAGTGTTTACTTTTTTTTTTAATTAATTTATTGTTGATATCAAGTTGTCCATGAAGCAAAACAAAAACAAATAAATGAATTAATTAAACTCTAGTATAGTTGTTACGATGTCGATTGGAACCTGTAATTCTTAAAGCACAGGACCGTATGCACTTCTCCTGAAATTTCTTCTTATGCTTTGACCATGATGTGTCTCGTAATTTATACTCGAATAGCAATTCGGCGAGTCCGGTGTTGGTAAACTAGTCCGCCTGATGTAGAATTGACGGCGGCGCGCTGGTCGTCAAAGCAAATCTGTATTGGTCCACTAGGTCGTAAATAATGTTTTTGTATGGTACACTTAGCTTTATCGCTTTGCCAGTGCCGTGCAGAGCATTGCTTGGCGGGGTATGTTATTGGTGTATAATACGTATTATTATTTATTAGTTGATATTATTATTTGTTCATATCGTAACCANTTACAGGGCCAAGTTTTAATAAAGCTCCTAGATATTGATAAAGTACCACTATTAACTGCCGTTTTGGGGGAAATCCCCATTGACGACCTTACAAGTATAAGTTCTCATATTTTTATCCCATTAATTTTTACATAATATGTACATTCATTAAACAACACCTTAGTACTTCTATCTATAACAACAATTAAATTTTAATAGTTTTTTTTTTATGTAAATAGAACAAATTGACAATGTTGCATAACCAGAACAATTAATTGTGGTACTTGGTCAGTCTAGGGACTTTAAAATTTAATAAAGTTCTTAAATTGATCAAGTACCACAACCGATCTCATTTGTTTCAAAATGGTGGTTTGACATCTGTCAGTTTGTACTATCTATATAATAAAACTAAAATATCAAATTATTGCATAATAAACTTCAAAATACGTGAAAATTGATTACATAAAAATATATTGGAAATTCAAATTTATTTTTCAATGTTCACTATAGGGATTTTGTCCTAAAATGACAGAATACGATACTTTATCTGTATCTAGAGACTTTAATGTTTAATAAGATTGACAATCAATTGTTTCTCGCTTGCCTCAAAATGATGGTTTAACAAATGTCAGTATTTGATATTTGTATCAAAATTTAATTGTTGTATTTTATAGGAAAATATTAGTTTATTTCATAATAAAATATGTGAAAATTAATGAATTGCTTGAAAATGTATCAAAATTCAAACTTGTATTTCAAAGTTGGCCAAAGGGGTCATATCCCAAAGTGGCAGTTGAATGTGGTACTTTATCAATATCTAGGGACTTTAAAATTTAATAAAGCTCCTAGACCCGCCATTTTGGTGCAAAATCTTTTGCCAACCTTGAAATATAATATTGCGCCTTCAAAATATTTTTATAAGACGTAAAAAATATAATTTTGAATGTACATAGATATATTATGACAAATGTCAGTGTGATATCTATATCCAAATATTATCAAAATTTTATTATATTATTTTACATGTGAATATTGAGTTATTGTGTAATAAATTGTTCCAAATACGTTCAAATTAATTAATTGCCTAAGATAAACTGACTGCCGGAATTAAACAATTATCCCACAATTTATAACATTCAGGCATATCCTGAATTGTTATTTATAACGGATTAAATTACAATTTTCTGTTCTTAATAAGATATAATGATACTACGACAATCTAAGCACATAACGAATACATCTTTAAACTATTTACTTACAGCTATTTCAATGAAATCGAAGTACACGTAAATCAAATAAAAACAGCGTATTCCCCTGAATACAAATATGAAATTCTTTTTTTTTAATCAAACAAATAGTCTAGTTACAATTAGTTTTTTAAAATGCACTTTAATTCTTGTGTAATACTCATGTATTACAAATACATAAATTGTACCCAACCTACAGAGCATGTGAAGGGAGATGGTGCGGGTCAACGAAGGGAAGAGCATCCTTTGTTTCGCATTTGGAGTTATTTTCGTGTTGGCAATTAAATTCCGGTAAAATTCTGTCTCACCGGCTGCAATTGGTGTAATTTTTCAGGATATTGTATTCAACCAATCAGCGATCGCATTGGCTCGAGCGTAGACGCGACGGTTTGTCATTGTTCATTGTAAACGAATCATTAGTATTGGTGACGCCAAGATTTAGGGATTTTTAGTTAACAGTACCAGTCCTGCAACGTTGGTTGCATAAGCTGGGTGGCCAAGTGGCATGTTAAAATTTCTGAAGGCTCTATAAGAGATCCAAAGGAGAAACGTGAAAATGAATAAAGTGAAAATATAAAGGAAAATTAGCTTTTTTGGTTTTATTTACAAAAATAGTTGGACTTGGTAATAGAATTTTTCTTAGATGAAATCAATTTCTTTAAGGGCCAATCGCCCCAACCAAATTTTAAACTGTACTTACATTGCAAAGTAATTCTTTATCTTTTTTAAACACAATTTTGTAGTCTAATAAAATCAGTTTTAAAACAGGTGGCCAAAGTATTTGAAAATGTAGACCTATTTACAAAAATAGCAGTTTTTTTTTAAATATAACCGGGACACCCTGTATGATTTAATCCTCATAAAATATGTATTTATATATTTTTTTCGCTCTAACTTTCCCATTTGTCCCTTTAGACCAAGGCGGATCTGTCTTGAGGTGGATGTGAGAGGGGGGGGCAAGCAAGTTTTTTCAGGATTACCTTCAGTACAACTTACATAGTAAAAGTGTAGATCCCTAGATCGGGGCGAAACATTTTTAAAATTGCAAAAATGTTTAAAAAATTTTAAAAAATTCCTATTTTCTGTGAATTTTTTCTTATATCTTGGAACCTATGCATTTTGGAAGAATATTGAAAAGGAAAATAAGGTTTAGAATTGAATTTTGCACAATATACCTACTGCAAGTTAAAAATGTTTAATTTTATTACCGATGTTGCAAAATAGCAATAATTGATGAAAAACAAGGCAAAATCAAGTTTTTTGGATAATTTTTTTGAAATATTTTAATTGTTCCAAGGGCATTCTAATTTTGGTAAAAAAAACTTTAGAGTATAATAAAACAACACAATAAATTTCATTAAAATCGGTTCTATAGTTTTCGCAAAATAATTTTTTGAAATAAATTAAAAAAAAAGTTTTGAATTTTCAAAATGTTGCACAGCCTCAAATAAAGCAACTAGATACTTGAAAATTTTTTCACATAGAAAAGACCGTTCAACCTTTCAAGTGGTTTTTCAAACATTGAAATCGGCTGATTAGAACGGCCACAGTAATTTTTTTAAGTTAGCACCCTTTTTTTTATTTTTAAACAAATAGGTAACATTTATCAATTTGCAATTTAGTTTTTTCCAAAAATTGTAATTTTAAAGTACTATTTTTTTCTTAATTTTGTCTGTATTTAACAAAAAAATTAATTTCCAAATAAAAAAAAATTAATTTGTTTAAACAAAAATTATTTAAATAATTGTAATAATTATAACTAAATACATTCATATTCGGTGTTGAAATATATATGTAAACAATTTTTTTCATTGAAAAAATGCAATAGCATAGGGTAAAATAGACAGTATATTTAATGCATAAATAATAAACTTTGTTTATAACAAAATATGTGCAAATTAGACAACTGGCATTACGATAGTCGAATTCCTTGGCTCGCGAGACATCGGATTAAAAAAAAAAGATCGAAATTAGTCCATTAGAAACCGAGATAATACAATTTTTTTTTCGTACCTTCGCATTTTGAACCTGCAAATTCAGTCACGGAGCGAATGCCCTCTCCGACACTTTTCGTGTTTTGAGTCAATTTTCGCGTGTGCGAGCGACAGCTTTTCCGCTTGTTTATTTATGTTGCCGATAACATGGATATGAAAATTTTTTCCAGCTTAGATCTCGGAAAAACAAAGCCACTGGATCAAAGATTATTGCTAAATTGTTTATAAATTAACGGTAAATGTCAATAAACTTTGACCGCTTATATCTCGAGAACCAATAAACGGAATTTAACTTTTTTTTTTAAAAAAAAACAGAAGTTTTTCTGTGTACTTTAAAATTATAATTTTTGGAAAAATTGCAAATTGCCAATTGATAAATGTAATCTAATTGTTTAAAAATAAAAAAAGGGTGCTAACTTTAAAAATTTACTGTGACCGTCCTAATCAACTGATTTCAATTTTTCAAAAACCATTTGAAAGGTTGAACGGTCTTTTCTATGTGAAAAAATTTTCAAGTGTCTACATGCTTTATTTGAGGCTGTGCAACATTTTGAAAATTCAAAAAAAACATTTTTCAAAATTTATTTCAAAAAATTATTATGAGAAACCTATCGAACCGATTTTAATGAAATTTGGTGTGTTGTTTTATTATACTCTAAAAATTTTTTTACCAAAATTAGAATGCCCTTGGAGCAATTAAAATATTAAAAAAAAAATTATCCAAAAAACTCGATTATTTTGCCTTTTTTTCATCAATTATTGCTATTTTGCAACATCGGCAATAAATTTAAACATTTTCAACTTACAGTATATTGTGCAAAATTCAATTCTAAAACTCTTTCCTTTCCAATATTCTTCCAAAATGCATAGGTTCCGAGATATAAGTAAAAAAACTCGGATAAAATAGGTATTTTAAAAAATTTTTTAAACATTTTTGCAATTTTGAAAATGTTCCGGATCTCGCCCAGATCTAGAGATCTACACTTTTATTATGTGGTATTGCAGCAAAAATTAGCTTGCCCCCTCTTACATCCAAGAAATGGGATATTTCGACAGATCCGCCCTGGTCACTTTGGAAAGGTACTCGAATCGTAACTACGCCACAATTTACAAAATAATTACTATTTCAGTACTTTTAATCCTCTAGTTGGATGTAATCTCAATTCTTTCAGGTTGATTCTCGAAAACGAACCCGTATCGGACGACGTCGACATCGAAGTCTTGGCAAAATCCACCGAAGGCTTCTCCGGTTCGGACTTGAGAGAACTGTGTCGAAACGCTTCAGTATACAGAGTGAGAGATTATCTTCGGACGCACATCGAGAGCCCACCCGGCAAATCCTCCTCCAAAAACGACTCGGAAGACGAGTTCCACGACACCCTGAGACCGATCACGATGGAGGACTTGAAGTTTTCCTTCAATAAAATGAGAGAAAGCAAAATGCAGTGCGGCTCTCTCCCTCTACAAACTAGAATAGACCTCGACTAACTGTTGTTCAGTCGTTTAGAGCCGTTTGTGGGGGATTTCGACGGGTACGTTAATAGATGCAAAAATTTCGCAGCAAGTTTTAAAAAGTGCGGTACCTGTAGACGATAGTAGTTAATTATAGACGTTGTGGAAGGACGTGGATTGCTGATAAATTTCTGTACGTTTAATAAGTTTGTAATTGAAGATTTCCACATGCTCTTAAAATGAAATATAATTTGTATGATTAACTTTTTTTGTGATAGTATTTTCTTTATTTTGTATTATAACTATTATTGTAAACAATAAAAAAAATCATGTCGGGTTTCACAAAACAGGCAGTAAGGTGTAATTTTTTTTTTGGGACCTTTTTGTGTACTGGATGACCGTACCAGTCCGCAAAACAGTCAAAAGAGCGCAACAATCTGAAATTTCCTTTGTTTGAAGTTATTGATGAAAAACAAAATTTTATTTTCGTTTTTGTTTTATTTTTTTATTTAGTATTTTCCTTTTTTTTAATTGGGCTCATTTAACACAGAATTTTCACATTTTTTGATTCACCAAATACTTATTTGTTTTAGTTGAAATATGGAGTTATCCATTTTTACGAAGAGTGCTTTGAAACTAAAACAAATAAACTATGAAGTCTTGACAGTTCACTTAAATTTTCTTTAGATTGTTGCGATCTGAAATTTCTTTTGTATGAAGTTATTAATGAAAAAGAAAATTTTATTTTCGTTTTTTTTATTTTTTTTTAGATTTTCTTTTTTTAATTGGGCTCATTTTTCTGGTTATGACGAAGTATGGATCATTGTTTTGTTTTCATGGAAACACCAAATTTTGCATTTTTACAAGAGTGCTTTGGTGTGAAAATAAAACATACGAAATTTTGACAGTTCAGTAAAACTTTTTTTGACAATGAATAAAAAAAAACAAAAATTTATAATATCCAAAAAGCAAACACACTGTCAGTCATGTTAGCTTTCGGCCCATCAGCATTTGATTTTTTTTTTACACAGAATTTTCACATTTTAATTCTCCTAATACTTATTTGTTTTAGTTGAAATAAGGAGTTATCCATTTTTACGAAGAGTGCTTTGAAACTAAAACAAATAAAGTCTTGACAGTTCACTTAAATTTTCTTTGACAACGAATTAAAAAAAAAGCAAAAATTTATAATGTCCAAAAGGCAAACGTACTGTCGTATTAGCTATTCAACCTACCAGCATTTGTTTTTTTTTACACATAGAATTTTCACATGTTTTAATTCACCTAATACTTAATTGTTTTAGTAGAAATATGGAATTATCCATTTTTACGGAGAGTACTTTGAAAATAAAACAAATGAAGTCTTGACAGTTCACTTAAATTTTCTTTGAGAGCGAATTAAAAAAAAATAAATTATAATATCCAAAAGGCAAATATGCTGTTATATTAGCTATTCAGTCTATCGGCATTTGTTCTTTTTTTGACACACGTTTCACATTTTTTAATTTATCTCAATTCCGATTAAGATCGTGTCATACTTATTTGTTTTAGTTGAAATACAGAGTTATTCTTTTTTATGAAGTGCTTTGAAAATAAAACAAATAAAATTTTGACAGTTCACTTAAATTTTCGCTTCACAAAGAACAGAACAAGAACATTGTTAATCGACTAATTTGACATATAACTGTCTTTATTTCGTGTGAATATTGTATTTTTAACTTTTTAAACTGTAACGTCGTTTTTAAAGGCTTTAAATAAATTGTCAAAAATTCATTTTAAGCAACAATTAAATCATTTGTTTTCAGCATTCTTTAAAGCATTAGTATTGGTATTTCGATGAAAATTACTCATCGTAGTCGAAAAAATGGATAAACCAAATTGTCCGATTGCGGGAAAAAGGTGAAAATAGTAAAGAAATGTAATATAGATCCAAAAAGATACAAAATATTTATGTTATTTGAATCCTCCATAGAAAATGTCCACCACTTTCTATTTTGGATTAAAACAAGAACGAAAATTATTTCAAATTTTTGTTTGATAACTTCAAAACGAAAAGTGAGAGATCAAATTCCTCTTTGGCCAATTAAAATAAAAGCAAAAATTTATTTATATTATTTTTCTGATTAAGATCGTGTCATATGTCGTGCTATACTTATTTATTTTAGCTGAAATACTGAGTTATCCATTTTTACGAAAAGTACTTTGGATATAAAACATATGAAATTTTGACAGTTCATTTCACTTCGCTTCACAAAGAACAGCGAGATGTGCCTCAAATTGTGATGTGAACTTCAAACTTGTTAATCGACTAATTTGACATATGACATTGTCTTTTTAACTTTTTTTGATTTTAACGCCGATGAAAATTTAACTGAATTGTCAAAATTAATTTGGAGCAACAATTGAATAATTTGTTTTCAGAGCACTCTTTGAAGCAGATGAATTTGTATTTCGATGAAAATTACTGATCGTAGTCTAAAAAATGGATAAACCAAATCGTTCGATTGCGGAAAAAGGGTGAAAATAGTAAAGAAATTTAATATAGCTCCAAAAGGAAACAAAATTTTTATGTTGTTTGAATTCTCCATAGAAAAAGTCCACCACTTTCTATTTTCGATTAAATTCTTGTTTGATAACTTCAAAACGAAAAATGATAGATCAAATTCCTCTTTGGTGTATTTAAATACATAATTTTTACATCTTTCTTTCTAAGAAAACAAATCATTAAATATTTTTAAATCCTATTTCGAGTTTTTTATCATGCAGGAAAAATACTGGGTTAATACTCGGAACGGCTCAGATTATCTGCAATGATTATTAAAGTATTTCTACATTCATTAACTTGTGAATTACGATAAATTTAACAAGTGGTTTGTACCCACGAACGATAAGCAGCATTTTGATTGAGCGCAAAAAAATTGTTGATAACGGTGTAACACTCGTGTATTGCGGTACAGAAATTATCTGGATTTAATTAATGAGCATTATTTTTGCTACAGAAATAAAGTCGTTAACGTTATGTCATTTGCATGTAAAAAATAATTTGTAAATAGTATCTACAGTTCAAATATTTGGACTATTTCAATAAAATAGAATAAAATTAGGTTTTGTTTGAGAGAGATTTTATTTCAAGTTGCGACAGCGATATAAAAAAAATTATCTTGGCATAATATACAGAGCAGAGTAAACATACTGTCCCTAATTGAGTCCAATGTACTTAGTTAATCTCGCTCAACTATCAGAACAATGACAGATAAAAAAATTGTGATAAATTAATAAAAATCCCTTTATTAGGTGCTCTCGTGATTATCAGTGTTGTTACACTTTTCCTTCCATAAATCAACTGAAAATGATACGTGGCAAAAATCCACTTGAAGGCCTGCTTTTCGTATCATTGTGTTCAAGAGTGCAATGAACTATGCAATCGGTGAAATGTCGTCGAAACACTTAAGGATTTTATCAAAAAATCGTGCTCTTACTAAATTTCAAATAAACTTCATTTTCTGAGGGTCTACAAGAAGATATATTTTCAATTTACTTTGACGTAAATCTTCAAAATAATTTTCCCACAAAACTCCCATGTTCAGATTTTATTTCGAGCTTTCTGCAGTGTTAAAAATTAAAATTATGCAGTAAATGAGACCTCTTATTTTTTTTACATTAATGTAAATGTAAAATAATAAAATAAATAATTATTCAGTGTTAGGCACAGCATATTTTTGATGGTTTGTTTATTAAATATTACTTTTTAATAAAAATGTAGTGCAATGCAGGAAATTCAATTTAAAGGCTGTTTGACATGATAGCATTTCTTGTTTAAAATCTTCTACATAATCTGAGCAAATTTTTTTATATAAAAATATGTTCGTGACAAACAGAAAATATATGAAATTCTATTCAGATTTATTTATTAATAAATGTTTACAGAAATTTTAGAACTTGTTCTAATTTTCTTTATAAAAATGCGCGTAAATCTGCGCAGAACAAAGTTATTTGTTATGTCTGCATTGCCACCTGTCAGTTCAAATTACAGGTTATGTTTATTTAATCTGTGTTTAAAGTAATTAATTAACATTTACCACTTCCCGTGTCTAGAACGATGTCCTAGACGAGAGGGCAAATAAGCAATTATTTTATTTTAAGTTATTTACTTCTTTGTTCTTTTAAGCGTAATCATTATAATTTAAATAGTGCTGGTCACAATGACTTTTGAATAGTTCCAGGGCCCGAGAACTTATACTTGAAAATATGGGGACACTGGGAACCACGTGACTTGAGATGGATTTACAAGTTGGGGAAAGAGTATAGATGTCGCCACAAAGATTTTGTAGAATAAATTTTGACAATTGCAATTATGAATCATTTCAAGTTATTCATGTTGTTTATGTTTATTGTTGGTTAGGTTTGGCGAGTGCTGGTGTGTGTTTTATTTGTGTTTTTAGTGTGTTTTATTAGATATTTCATTCACATTTATTTATATAACATAATAATGTCTGATCATCATATAATCACATTTTTTTATTAATAATAAAATGTTTTGTTTTTTTTTTATAAAAAATGTGATCAGAGGTAGGTAGTTTTTTTTATGGATATCAACACAACGAAAAATTTAAAGTTGCATAATAAATCTCTATTACAAGAATTAATCAAAGATTGGTTTAGTAAAATTATTTACTTGTAATATTTTTTTATTCACCGTGAAAGCTAATACAATATAGAAAGCACTGAAACTCTATAATCATTTTCACTCTTTTTTTTTCAAAATATGTACTGAAATTTGAAATTTTTTCAACAAACATTTTAAAAAGTTACAGTATCAAAATTATTTCTTATTTTAAGTAGGAAGACTATTAGAGCATTTAAAAGTGTCTTTAATGCTTGAGTGATTTTAATGCTTTTTATCAAATGTACTTATTTTCTCATGGTGACAAAAAAAATTATCTACGTGAAAATTATTTTACAAAATCAATTTCTGAGTAATCTGTGTAGGGTGAGATTTGTTATGTAATTTTAAATTTAGCGGCGGCAGAATACCTAAAACAAATATTGAGTAGGTAGGTATATAGTTGTAGAGCGTACAACTAGATGGCGCTTGCATCTTTTACCGGCTACAGGTAATTTAACTCACTGTATTACCGATAATTCCTAGAAAAGGAAAGCAATAGAAGTTGGAGAAAGTGTCAACAGTTAGCGTTATTAATGACCACGAAATCTGTTCAAGTTTCCTATCTATAGTATCATTTATCTAGGAATAGTTCCTGCATCCATTTTGTACAGTTGTTTTAAAATCAAATAAAAGAATAATATCTACGGTAACATCAACTGCGTAGGTGCTGTGATAAATAAGTATTATATTTTTATATAAAAATATGCCATAGTGGCAAGCAGATAAAAGATTTTACATTATTTTTTCTACAATATTTTCACAAATATTTTTACGAAGATTATTATACAGGTTCGGAATGTCCCCATGGTTCATCGGCAGTTACGTGAGAGCGATAAAGTAAGTCATAGTCGTAGTTAATGTCGACATTGAAAGTCGATTCCTTTGAATCTGTGGTCTGCTCTACCTTCTACCTCGCCATTTCCACAAAAGAGTACCTTCTGCAATGACAAAAGATTTAATGGCTGAAGTATTTTCACGAAAAGAGAAGAACAAAGAACGGGCTGACATTGACATTTTTAAATCTATCTACAAAATAATTCGTCCACTGACGAATGTCTATGATCCACACATTATTTCGAAGCCAAAATGAAGGGGATTTTTTTTATTTTTTTACATTTTTCACTCAAAATATTTTTTACGTTTCATTCATCGTATAATTCATGAATCATTACCCTTGTGAGTGCACCCGCCCCTTTAAGGTTCGCGCCCCTGGCAGCCACCCCCGGCTGGCCCCTTGCTACGCCACTGTACGTTTATATTATAAACTATGTTCTTAATTATTTTTATTTACAATTATTGATCATGACTGCATACCTTAAAAAATATTTGATTTTCGTGTAATAGCAATAGTTTTTTAAACATTTTTTATATTTCAAAAACATGAACTAAATTGATATCGCATATCCAAAAAAGTTACAATATCTCGTAAACGAGGCCCCTAATAAAAATCTTACAAAACTGAAAAAAAATAGAATAAAACGCCGCTTTATCTAAAAAAATATTCTGAAAGCATAGACGTACTCAAAAAAAATAGGGGGTCCATGGGTACTACAACCCCCCTCCCCTCCGTTCGCGCTTTGATATTTTAAACCAAAATTACACAAAAAGTGTAAAGATCAAAATATGTGCTAAATTTCAAATAAATATATCTACAATCGCCGTAGTTATCAATAAAAATCATTTTTTAAATTTTAATTTTGACACCCTGTATTTTGAAAATGGGGCTCCAAAATGAAAAGTGGCATAAAAGTCCCATTCTTTTAGTCCAAATAAGAATATATGGTTAACAGCTTGACCTACTAATTTGTAACACCCTGTATAATTAAATAAAGATGAATCCTATTTAAGTAGGTACATACTTATTTTATTTAAAACTAATCGTGACAATGATCATGACGAGTAATAACATTTTACGTGCATTTTTGCAAGCAGTATATCCACGCGTAGTTCAATTATTCAACAGATAATCCAATATCCAATTGTCGCAATAACTTACTCATCCCCCTTATAGTGATAAATATTACGTACAAATATATTTAATTAAATTTTTAATCATATCGTGCGACTGTTATAAATATCAATTCTCTAAAAAAAAAATACGAATTCATGAACTGTCCTGGAGTGTATTATAAACGATCCTTATATTTTTAAAATGAGAAATAAACAAACAAATTAAATATCTTTAAATTTTAATCCATAAAGAATTAAAGATAAATTAAATACCTATATATTAAGTTACAAATATGCGCCCGACTCCTGAAACTTGCTAATTCGTTAGAACTGTAAATGGTTTAATTATAAAGGCAATATAAGCCCGTCAATATTTTTTAAATTATATAAAATATCGAAGTGTAATCGTGGCCCCGAAAATATTCCGCCGCCGCCACTGTACAAACTCTTAAATATTACACCGCTTTTCCTTGTTGCCATGTAGTCTATCTGCGTGAAATTCTATCTTTAACTTTCCACAGATAACGATAAGTATTCATCTAATCAGAATGTATATAACTTTAATACCTACGTGAATTTATACATATAGACACACTCGCGTGGCGTTAGATATTATCCTTTTATCCTAGCCGGGTGTGCATACACCTAGCTGTATCAAATTAGCAAATATTTACCGAAATTCCGCAGTCCATCATATTCCATAATAATTCGTACGAAAATACGATTAATTCTCGGAACTATGAGATCCCTTGCAAATTCTCGGAATGAGCGATAATAGGATAGGAAGTGACAGTAGAGTTGCATCATAGTATCATCACTTTAATTAAGATCCGAACTGGCGTCTACATTTTTATGATCTTGGATATCCACCGTATTTTAAATAGACCGTGACGTCACTGTAATAAGAAAAATGTGAGTTATATGTATTCCGATTTTAGAATCTCCCAAGGTTTGCGGTTTTTTCAGTCCGACAAAAAAACCGAGAATTACGAAATTCGCGGTTGTTTCAATCTGACATCTGCCGGTTACTTTTCGAACTGTAGTGTTGTCTGCCTGTTCGCTCGCGATGTTCTGTGTGAGGTGAGTTCTCTTTACTCGTCTAAAAAGACAAAGACTTGACAGTGCTAGAATTTTTTTAAGGCCTTTATGGAAACTCTCAGTATCCGTATAAATATGAAATTAATAACTCACAGTGTCTCCGAGTTCTGAGTGCGAGCCCTCACAACGCATGTGTTATTAAAAATTGTGGATTGTGTTATCGCACCTATGAGCCATTTATATATCCGTATATATAATTCATTTGTGCCAATACGGTGTAATTTATCATATCTGCATTCTCGTGTTTTAATAATTTAAAAAGTAATCTGTGATTTTATTTTCCGTACTAGGAACCAGTGGTGTGCAATTTTTTCAATGTTGCCAACGTTGTTATTCCATCAACTAATATTTATAAACTTATTTAAACAATTTGACCAAATTAAAGGTTTTTTATGGGTCTCTGTTTCAGCTGCAGCAGGTCTAGGGATAAATTTAAAGGTAATGTATTCCTCACAAATCAGCTATTATCAGGGGACAAGTGGGGGCACGACTCTAAGATTATTTAATACTTGAACATTTCACAGTTTAAAAATAAGTCCCAAATCTTATAAGAACATCCTTATCGCCAATTAGAATCGAATTATCTAAGGTTAAGATTTGTAGAGATATCCTAAATATATCCTATAAAAAGAATCCTTATCTCGCTTTAATCGCAATATTAATACAAACTCTCTCCAGATAAAACTTATCTGAATTGTCGTGTAATTGGGCCATCACTATAAAAACCATAAAATATGCTTTTATTCTTTTAGTCGACTAAGTTTTGCTCAAGTGTGAGGTTACTCTGTTTAAAATGAGAGGTAATTTTACTTTTTTATGCAGAAACTATTGGACGCAATGGCAGAAAGAATCCAAGTTCTGTAAGTAGTAGTAATAGTAAATATTAATCATATTATATCTGTTTGATTCACAATGAATTGTGTGAACTCCCAAATTCGACATGCAATTAGATTGCATCAAAAGATTACTTTATTGCAGTACAAATTTTTAATTACACATTTATTAGCTGATATAACGAAACAGTATGGACATTTTGTTGGTGGAATAAATTATATTGTACAATATTTGATTAAAGCTCGAGTAAAATCCACTTCTCAGTTCTCCTTTGAGACTGCTTAAAAAAATGTTCCTTTAAATTAAATAGATTGCTGTATCATATTAAAAGGAATTTTTGTATGTTTCACAAACATGTAATAAAGTACTTTGCAATTACACACGTTTATACAAGTTTTTTTAATTCTCCACGGACTGGCTAATGATTAAAGTTATGAGATATTGGGGTTACGAGGTCAGAAATTCAAAAGAGAACAAGAAATTGGACGTTCGCGTTGCAGATAGTGTATTCTGAACGAACGTCAATTATAGTAAATGTGCTATCTGTCACGTCTCCCTCTGCACAAAAAAAATGGGAATTTTTCATATCTCTTCCTTTTCAGCTAAAAGCACTAAGATATGCCAGATACACTCGGCCGTATCGCCAGTCTACTTACCTCACGAGACACCTTGTTCCAGCCACGTGAACAGACTGAGCGCCCCCTATGTAGAGGATAGGATGGCCACATCCTTTTCAAATATGAATCTCACAAACCCTATCAAAGGGCTTGTCAGTAAAAGAAGATACAGGTACAAGAAGGATGGGTTCAATTTAGATCTAACTTGTATCCTTTTATAAAAAGTGTTTCTATCTTTCTTTACTCTACGATACTCTATCCAAAGTTGCTTTGTTTAACAGCGAGGGGTGTCAAAGTTAAAAAGATTTTAGGTTAGGTTTTGTCAAAACTAAAATGTTTTGTTCAAATTAAATAAATTTACATACAGGGTGGTTTCACCTTAAATGCAGAAGCTGCAGAAATAGATTCATTACCAAAACGTATGTAGAGTTTGCTGTATAAACTTTTTTCCTGGGAGTCGCGGTATTTGAGATACAGGGTGTTTAGAATTTACAAAAATATATATTTTCTGTCATATCTTCATAATGATGGAATTGAATGAAATTTGCTACTGCGTATTCACATAATTAGGCCTTTTATTTTTTAATTTTTGCCGGTGGATATTAGACGTATATGACAATGATCAGTTGTTCCTTTCTTAGACAGATGAAGCTAAATTTGTGCATACTGGAGTAATTAACTTCCATAATTTCCACGGTCAAGCACAAATGAAAATTAAAGCACGTCACGAGCTTGAAATAGACCCATATTTTGCACTTGGCCCATAACACTTATTTGGAAAACAAATAAACATAGCGACCCAAATAAAACGACAATGAGGGTGTTGTGTAATAGTTTTTTCATAATTAATTTTTTATTGTTTAAATTTAAAGTAAAAAACTGTGCAAAAAATCGCCATATTTGCACATTTTTTACTTAAAACTAAAGGCTCAAATCAAAAATTGCTTACACGAGGGAAGTGGGTCTATCTTTTAGCTTTGCAATGATACCAAAATTATATCAATTTGTCGTTCAAAAAAATATTCGGCTCATTTTATTTGACAGTGGAGTGTGTTGATCCAACATATTCGAAATAATCTACTAAATTAAAATATTTTGGAAACACAAATTTTATATGGGACAGTGACTGTAGTGTTACATAAAACCAAAAATAAAAAGAGGAGCATTAAAAAATGTAATTAACTGATGTCCGCGGAGTGTCAGTCATTCAATTTTGCGTTGCGACAAAAATTGTTTGTACAACTTCAACACCGACGGTACAATAGTTGTATCAATTCGAATACAATTATTGAAGTTAAAATTGTAACTTTAGTGGCTCGTTTAAATCAATCTAAATATTCTAAATACATCCACCGTAAAATCATCGTAGTGGGAGAGCAATATCTCCGCCTCCAGCCGTAACGCCCGTAGTACCATTTCGGTGGTCCATTTTCAATGGGAATTCAGAGTATTTCAGAAACTACTAAAAATATGATAAATCTGACACGACGTTCTCGAGCTTGATTTTCATGGCAAACTCAACTGTCAAATCAGAAATTTGTTTCTGAGTTACAGGGTGTTTCTTGTTATTGTCACATTTTTGAACATGTCTATATCTCAGCTGTTAAATAAGTTAGAGTTAAAGTGGAAACTGCTCAAGACTAATTCTTTGGCGTAGAATTGAATGCTAGTATTAGATTTTTAGTAAATCTTAAGATTTCGGAATTATGAGTAAAAGTAACTATAGCATGTGATATATTGCTGAAAAGCAAGATAAAATCTCCAATTTTTTAGGTCATGACCAGCTACGATTTCCATTTAAAAAAATATAACTTTGGGTCATAACTCTGGAATCTTAAGACCTACTAAAAATCTAATACCGACACTCAATTCTACGCCAAAGAATTAGTCTTGATCAGTTTTCTCTTTAACTGTACCTTATTTAACAGCTGAGATATAGACATATTCAAAACTGTCACGATAACGAGAAACGCCCTGTAACTCAGAAACAAATGAAGATAGCAAATTTCTAATTTCACAATTGAGTTTGCCATGAAAATCGAGCTCGAGAGAAGTCAGATTTATTATATCTTTAGTAGTTTCTGAAATACCCTGAAATCCCAACGAAAATGGACCAGCCTGTACAGAGAATGAACTGTTAATAAACAAGGATAAATTTGAAGAACTTGCAAGTTTATGTACTGTATGATATAATTGTTTTTAAAATTAAGAAACCCAAAATATTTTCAATTTTTTGAATATTTTTATTATTCTTGAATATTCTTCTGAAAATGCCCAATATTTTTCAATTTTTTTTGAAAATGCTCTTAAGTGGTTCGTATTTTTCAATATTTACAAAAGCAGTATGTAAAAAAGTAGTTATTAAAGTGCAGTTATGCTGTTTGGGTAATGTGAAATGGAAGAAAATTTAAAAAAAAATTAAAAAATTCAATTGGATGGCATTTTCAAGTTATTTGGAAAAAAATGTCAAATTTAATGCCCTTTAATGGCTAAACCAAGCAATACTGGATAGAAGTAAAATTTAATGAAATATACCAATTTTGACTAGTTTTATGTACAGGAAATTAAATTTACAAAAAATGCGTAATTTTGCAGTTTCAAACAACAATTGTGTGTGTTTTTTACATCAGTTTGAAGCAGTGGTGTTTCTAAGGGGGCGGTTATTATCATCACATTAAAATAGCAGTTGCAAATAAAAGCAAAACATTTTTATTATTTGTTCTTTTAATCAAAATGAATGCAATACATTTTTTGTTAATTTTTCAAAAAATTGTATTTATATCTCGGTTATACTTAACTTAAACTTTAAATTGATCCTAACATTCTCTTTTTCGAACGTCACAATGTTGTAACTTTAAGGAAAATTAAAATTTTCAGAAAAATAATAAATCGATTATTCAAATCTCTCCGTTGATTATGAAAAAAAATATTTAATAGATATGTGTGCAACCCTTTTTCGAGATCTCTAGGTCGGGAATCCGTAATTTAATTTTTTATTTCACATTTTTTTTTTTTTTCTTTATTTTTGCACCAATGAGAATATAGTCTTCAAACTTCAAGCTTTATTTTTTCGTTAAAAAACTTCTTTCCACGCTTTATTATCAAAATATAACCATTTAATTTTAAGGATTTTTTATATTTCAAAAAAAAGTGAAAAATTGATAATCTCAAGTAAAACCGATTATCAAAAGTTGTGGTCCGTTTTCCTTAACCCCCACTCAGATATCACGGACAACATCATCGCCATGGGCTACCCAGCGTCCAACATCGAGGGCGTCTACCGCAACCACATCGACGACGTGGTGAAGTTCCTCGACAAGAAGCACCTGGACCACTACTACATCTACAACCTGTGCTCGGAACGCAGCTACGACAAATCCAAGTTCCACAACAGGGTGAAGGTGTTCCCCTTCGACGACCACAACCCGCCCAAGATCGACTCCATCCAGCCGTTCTGCAACGACGTGAAGGAGTGGCTGTCGAAGGACGAGCGCAACGTGGCCGCCGTCCACTGCAAGGCGGGCAAGGGCCGTACCGGCACCATGATCTGCTGCTACCTGCTGCACAGCGGGATGTTCCCCAGCGCGGACGAGGCCCTGTGCCACTACGGCAAGACGAGGACGCAGGACAAGAAGGGCGTGACGATACCCAGCCAGGTGCGGTACGTGCGGTACTACGAGAAGTTGGTGCGCGGCAACCTGAACTACACGCCCGTCTCCATGTACATAAAGGAGTTCATCTTTAACCCGGTGCCGAACTTCGTGGGTGGGCAGGGGTGTCTCAGCTTTACGATATCGCACCAGACCTTGCAGCAGGAGGGCGAGAAGCTGACGCAGAAGTGCAAGAAGCTGCGGAAGAACGACGCGTTCGAGGTGAAGAAGGCCGACTCGCCGTTCTCCATCAAGCTGGACTACTGCCTGCCGTTGACGGGCGACATCAAAGTGGAGTTCTATAACAAGTCGATGATGCGGAAAGAGAAACTGTTTCAGTTCTGGTTCAATACGTTTTTCATAACGGACGTTGTGGACGTTAACGGGTACGTGGACAGGAACGGTAGTGGCGAGGACTGCTGTTACGTGCTGTCGTTCGACAAGAACGAGTTGGATATCGTTAATAAGAAGGACAAGCAGAATAAAGTATTTAGTGCCGACTTTAAGGTAAGTCCTTTCTATTTTCTTGTAAATGCTCGGCAACAGCTGTGACAGTTACCCGGCAGGTGGCGCCACCTACTTGTATGGACTAACTAAAGACGACGGAAACTTTTAACATTTTTAGACATATTTACTTTTCACAAATCGTAAAATGAGCACAATTTTAATATTGTTTTTTGGAATTCAGGAATTTTTTGAAAATATATTTGAGAAACACTAAATTTTATTGAAGGTAGACCACAGTCAGTTCGTATTAAAATTTTAATATATTTTTTATAAGATTTCAAATTAACCGTAACTATTTGACTTATCATTTATGTTTTCTTTTTGTGGATAGGTTTTGTACACTTTACATTAAACTTAAAAGGATTTAAATCCGTGGGAAATAAATAAATAAATCTCAGCAAATAAAAAACATACATATTCAGGATGTTTTATCGACATTGCCGGGGTCAACATAGGATTATGAAGCCAAACACGGCTTAATCAAATATTGCTCTATTTCTATATAAAGGATATCGCAGCTTACAGAAAAAATTTGAATTTTGTCGATTTTGAAAATCATTTAACCAATCGAAGTGAAAATTTCACCAGTAATGTCTTTCGAGGGATAATTTAAAAAATGGTATTTGGTGCTCGCCGGTAATGATGTGAATCGCTAATATTTCCAAACGAATAAGGGGGATTTTTCAGTCATGTCTGTATTTTCGCTGATATTCCCTTTAATTTTAAAATTATAACGAGCGTTCAAATAAAAACGTGGTCAAGTTGTTCTGAAAATTTGGACGTAGGGCGTAGCGTATAGCAAATGAACTTAAACGTCATCTGTCAAAGCGCTATATCGCCGCTATCAATTTGAATATTTTCGTTTTAAAAAGCGTTTAAAATGGTGTTTTCTCAAGAACAAAAAGTGTTTATCATAGAGTCCTACTTTAGAAATGGACGCAAGATTGATGGAATATGGAAGTATTCTATTGAGGAATGTTTCATAGAATTTCAAAATCAATTTCCCGACGTTGTTGAGTACAAAATTTTTCAAAGAGCAGTTCAGCGTTGTGTTAATGTTTTTCATGAAACGGGCAGTGTAACAAGAAAAGAAGGAAGCGGCCGACCTAAATAGCGGACTGAAGAATTAAAAGAAAATGTCCAACAAATAATGGAAAATGCGCCAAGAACTTCTGTACATGTTTTATCACAAATGGTGGGAGTATCAGTCGGTACCTGCCACACAGTCTTAAAAAAAGATTTGCGTTTGTTCTCCTATCGTTTAACTTGTCAGCAAGAACTTCATGAAGTTGATTTTCCGCGAAGGGCTGTATTTTGTGAATGGTTTTTAAACAACTACGGTGAACTTCATAATATCAACTTTTTTTCTGAAAAACCTGATAACTTCTTTGTCGAGGGCCCTCTACACGCTCAAAAAATTGGAGTTTGGTGTGCTCTCAATCGAAGGAGGATTTATGGACCTATTTTTTTTAATGGTACTCTTACTGCGCAAAGGTATAGAGAAGAAATTATCGCTCCTTTTGTTAACCAGCTGGAAGAAAACGAAATTACAAACTTTTACTTTCAACAAGATGACGCAAGGGCACATTCGGCAGGCGAGACAATGAATATGTTGAGGGAAGTTTTCCAAAATCGACTAATAAGTCTCAATGCTGAACATGAATTTCCACCGAGGTCATGTGATATTACGTCGTGTGATTTCTTTTTGCGGCCTTACCTTAAAAACACTATTTTTGAACTGCCTATTCCTGATTTAAACCATCTGCAGGCTCGACTTATAGACAAGATTCGTGAAATAAACAATACCCCGAGCATCTTAGAAAATGTCTAATTCTTTGAGGAACAGGTGTGAAAAGTGATTGGAACAAGGAGGGGGACACTTTCAGCAGCTGCTTTAATTTATTGTTATAACAAGGAGGGGGACACTTTCCGCAGCTCCTTTAATTGTTTGTTATCGTTATCACGATTATTCTTTAAAATAAAGTTATATAGTCATTAACGTTATTGAAACTGACAGCTGCTATACAGCTCGTTGAGAAATGAGGTTAAGTTGGTCGCTATAAGCTACTCCCTACGTCCAATGTGTCATCGATCATTGATCAGGGGCAACAAGACAAAAAAACGGCACCGTGAAGGTGCTGAAATTTACCTTTTTAAAAATATTGTATGCGATGTAGTGGGGTGTTTGCACCTTTTCAGATATGAAATAATGTGGCAAAAAACTTGACCAGGGTTCGTAGCGCCGGGAAAACTGGGAATACCGGGAAAGTCAGGGAATTCATTTTTCTTCATAGAAAACAGGGAATAGTCAGGGAATTTTAAAAATATTCATAAAAGTCAGGGAATTTGAAGTTTGCAACTGGAAATTTTGTGAAAGCCGGCGCTGGGTTCTTGAAAGAGAAAACTATTTTTGGTTTTGAAACCTTTATAAGAGCTTCTTAGAGTATAAAAAAGATTATGGAGTCCAATCGAAAAAATATTTAATGCATAAACACCAATTAGTAGGTAAAAATGAACTACAAGTGACCTGGACTTTTTTTATAAGTGGGAAAACCTGGAAAAGTCAGGGAATTCTTTATTACTTTTGACCTGTGAACTCTGTTGACCCATTTGTTTATTTTTGCAAATAATCTTTGTTTAGCTGGCTGGCATGCTGAACTATGCTGACATCTATTAATAGGAAGCTCAACTAAAATCTCATATCACTGTTCCTCTTTTATTTCTAGTAACAAAGGAAGGGAGAGGAGTTACATAAATAAGAAGTTTCCTGTAATAACATGTGTATAGTCTAGTACGACTAAAATTGATAACAGTGGCGTTCGATTTGAACAAAATATTTTAAAATTAAATAAAAAGTAGAGTGATAGTTTTCTACAATCTCATTTGTTAATTAAATTTTGTTTTTGCTCAACGATTCTGAGAAAATATAATGATAAGTGGCTATTTTTTTTAAGAACAGAGTACACTATAGTAGGATCATATTCGATACAAAGTAATAAATCATTGCATGTCAAGGGATCCAGTGCAATACGATTTTAAGGGGTTTAGAAATTGAATAATTTCTTTATGCATTATGGAGGAATTAAGGGATCAATTCACGTCTGACATCCTTGTTCCTACAAAAATTCCTTCATTCTCATAATACATTTTACCTCTGTAGGCGCCACTGTTGTTTACTTGTTTTTTGTACATTTGATGCACCTGGGCGACTACAGTTACTACCAGAATACAATGTGTATGCAGCAGTATTTCAGATTTTACATTCAGTTTCATTTTAAATTTGAAATTGTTCATCTTGCACCTCCTAAAAAAGATGACAAGAGTTTTCTTTGATAAAAGACCGACAACTTTTTGCTTTACTTTGCATTAAATACGATCCTACTATGTAGTTGAAAGTAAAAAACTCGATTATATTCAAAGTAAAAGCGCTATAACAATAAAGATGGATAAAGCTTTGGATAAAATAAAATAAATTTATTTCGTTATAAACATGCTTGGATGTTTATTATTTATATTTCTAACTAGTATATTTTTTAAATTCAAAGTTAAGCAAATTTCCAGTATTACAATTATTACAAAATTGATACTGTTTGTAAGAATATTGCAATAATAAATATAATAATTTTTTTTTCAACTTGATTAAAACATTTCGAATTATCTTGTCTCTAAACTAATTTGCTTCATATTTAAAATATATATTTCCAGTATTTTAGGCAACTAGCGCCATCTATCAGTGAGCATAAAATGAATACTAGTTTCTAAATTTTCTCTTTAAAAACGTACGGACTGAAATTTTCAGCCTGATTCATAAAATGGTCTTTGAAATATCACCAAAACTGTTTTTTTAACTTTTACAACCTATAAATCAAAAAGTCTGTAATTTCCCATGACTCATTCATAACGAAAACCATGTATAAATCAAATCTTTCATTTGATGAACTAAATATGATAACTTGCAAATACTGATTAATTTTTTTTAATCTACAGGGTGTTTATAAACTTGGAAATTGTTTTTTAATGTTAACCGCCTTTTCATATTAAACCATACGACACAAAAAAAATTAAGAAGAATAAATATAATTATACTGACCATAAGTACTTGATGAAAAAAAAAAATACAAACATATTGAGAACTGCCGATGTTGAGAGGGAATGACAAGTCACAGTAAGTGCCAGTGTCTAACAGAAAGTTATCAGCTAGATTACGTATCATTTTTGAGAATACCGTGCCATTTCTTTTATTAGATATTGCGCTGGTCAGAGTATTAGTCCACAGAGTAGTTGCTTCCCGCAAATATCGCCAGTTTAAAATTTCTGATTTACGTTATATGCACAAGTAACGTGGACCGTTGTGTGCTTGCAGTTAACGATGCTCCTCCAGAGAATACCGAGGGACGACTGCTGCCCGTCGACGTACGAGCGGCCGTCGCAGGTGCAGGACACGCCTAGCGAGAGCTCCGCCGACTCCTCGGACGACTACACGAACGAGGAGGACGACTGGGACAGTGGTGAGGGCAATACACTTTTACCCAATATACCCGAATGATGTCTGTCTATTGTGATGTTGTAAACATGCCGGTAGCGATGCCGATCGATGTATCTTTGATATTTTTGCCAATTCCAAATGTATATTTTTTATACTTTAACTTTATCGACGGGGGAGGGAGTGAGTACAATTGTGGAAAATGAGGGGTGCACGGCGGAACGTGGCGTTCGTAAGCGAAGCAGATGTGTTTTTTGCGCGTTTTGCCTCGGAATTGACACACGGTGTGGCCTTGTAAAATTTTTTCGATGCACACCATTCGAATCCGTTTTTTTATAAATAGTAGTCTTGAAGATGTAATCGTTGATTTTTTGGAAAATTGCTTAATGGATTTTTTTTCAATAAAAATATTTGGCTACATAACCTTAAAGGCCATATAACATAACCTTAAATTTATAATGTAGAATATTTTTTGGGTATAAAGTTTTATTGTTACTGTTTTGGTTTAAAAATCTAGGAGACGTTGGAAATACCTGAATATGATGAAAAATTTGCTAATTTGGCACTGCTGGCAAATAATAGAGACAACTTATAAGTTATATTCACAATTTTAAATGGGATCTAAAATTTTTTCAATTTTAGGCTTTTAAGCAGACTATTTTGTACCAGTTTTAATCGGCAGTGTAGATGATTGTCAAATTTTTTACTTTCAACTGTTTCCAGTGCCTCTTAGATTTTCAAACTTGATCGTAAACAAATTTAAAAGTTTGTAGAAAAATATTCAGCTTTATAAATTGATGAAGTTTAAGATTTTTTAGTGATGTTGGTTAAAGTTATGGTTAGATTTTTAGTTAAAAAAATGTTTAAAGTTGTTTTCCTAAGTGTCACTTAAAAAATTGTAGCAAGCCATGAATTACCAAGAAGAAATGCATCTAGAAGGCTATTATATAAAAACAATTAGAATCGTAACGCAAAGAAAGTTTGTGTAACGGTGATTATAAAATATTATTTTTTATTAGTAGTGTGGAATCATTTTTACGTTATTTTGTATACTACATCGCTTTTGGTATTATTTTATACAGGGTGTGATGCAGAATGTCAAAAACGAAATGGTATTTTTCTCTTCCAAATCTATGAATAACTTCTGACATAAAGATTGGCTGAAATCCTCATTTTTTTGAACTACAGAGCGTTGAATGTAACTATCATACCCCACTACGCCACTGGCTTGAGTTGAGGTTCAATTTTTTCACGTTATTCAATTTTAACACCCTGTATATCAAAAATGAGGGAAAATTTTTATAAAAGAATATATTGTTAAATTTGGATTGGACACCGCGTTACACCCCATACAACATTTAATTGAAAGAAATAATTTCTGCGAAAATATAAACGTAGATATGGAATCGCTACTATTACTTGGTGTTAGTTTTTTTTTAAATTAATATTTGTTCATTGATAACTTGCTTATCAGACTTTCTGTGTGCGCATCGCAAACATTTGCTTTGGCTTAAACTTCTAAATTCGAGATAACACGGATCAAGGAATCAACGAGGATTATCCGCTTAATCCTTTTTTTTTTAATCTCCACGAGACGTCCTCTTTAAAACTTATCCGACCCGATTACATTTAATTGTAATTTCTTTTCGCGGTTAATAAAGAGCCAGAAGAGAATTTTTTTGTCTGTGATAAGTGGGCGATCCGGAAAAAGTAAAGTCAAAGGCGTTCGACCTCGTCGTCGTCCACTTGTAGCACCTGATTTGTACATTTTCGCACAAATGTATTTAAATATGTTGAAACTATGAAATTCTATGAATGTTTACAGTATCACGCAGAGTATTTATTTTTAAAATAAGTTTATGTATAGATATACCTACTATTACCTTTTTTTTTATACCCTTCTATGTGCATATTTAAAATATGCGGATGTTTTTAATTTTTTTATGTGACGAATTTTCAGAATTCCTTTTCCATTTCCATAAGTTTGTAGAAAATTTGGCCTTGTAAAATTTTTGTTTTCGCGAGTCGTTTATTTTTTTCGTCTGGCCTCCAAAAAAAATACCAAAATTCAAAAATTAAAAAAATTGTTTTATTATCGGACAAGTTTTTGTTGGGTAATCTTAAGTACAACGCTTTTGGCTTTCTCACTCATCACTCATTCCATTCTGTGTACTGGATTTTTCAAAGTTATTCGCCCGCAGCGTTGGGATATATTTTTCGTTCGAAACAATTATAAAAAAATGTAAATTTACCACCGAATGCTGTCCGAATAATTTTGAAAACATTTACTTACCTCTGTTTAACGTTTAACTTTTGTTCTCTGTGTACAGATTTCTACTAATACAATAACAAACTATTTGCTTTAATGTTTCTCTAATTGTCAACAAGAAAAAAGTTCAGTTCTGTCGATAATTCTCGGTTCATGTCCAAAATTGTCTCCCGGTAACTTTAATTTTTCTATAGGTTTTATTTTATTACGAATTTTTGGTTAAACTCTTAACATTTACCGATTTTTGACTCAAGAAATTATTGTCATTATAGTATTGGTGACATTTTTTTTTATGTCGTACAATAAATTGGCCAATTTATTGGTCAAATATAACGTCATTAACTAAAATAAAAATCATTCACAAAAATAGTAAACCACAAAATTGTAACAGACATAACTTTTGCTGGAATAAAATTAAAATAAGCGTTAAAATGTAACTAAAATTGATAGTGGGGTGAGGTATATAACCTATCAGTTATGTCATCTCTTAAATGTCATTGCTACTCGTTGCCTACTGTCACAAAGCGTTACTTTGTGCCTACTGTCAGAAATCATTACTTTGTGCCTACTGTCAGAAATCATTACTTTGTGCCAACTGTCAGAAATCATTGCTTTATGCCTACTGTCACAAAGCTTCACAAAGCATTAGTTTGTGTCTACTGGTACAAAGCGGTACTTTATGCCTACTGACAAAATGACCTACTAATCTGTAGGTACTATTTAAAATTAGTAGTGTTAAATATAAACTTATTGAGTCAAAAATTAGTAGTAATTTTTTACTAAAAAAACACTCATTTCAACAAGCCTTCTTGAAATCTCAGAGTGAGGAAAGTATTAAGATTTCCACTCTATCAGTATTTCAAAGACGTTTTTACCCCATAGACGCGTTTGAAAGCGAGAGAAAGACAGAACCGAGCATTTTTTCCGTTGTATTCTCAAGTGCATGTGACTAATACACGTTTTGGGGTACTTTAATGCAGTCCTGGACGGCGAACACTTGGATCCACGCGGCGTTGGGTATAGAATCTTGTCGGAATGCGAGCTAGCCTCCCAGTTGACATCGTCTAGTAGCGAACAGCAACCCGAGTTACTGATTGTGTGATTTAGAGAGTGGACGAGTTACTGGGGACGGGGGTCGGTTGCGAAGCGACGTTTTCGTCAATTTGAAAGATGAATTACGCAGGCGGGGGTTAATTATTAGGAATAAATTTTGGAATCGTCATGAATACGTGATTTCGTGAATAAATTGCAAGTTCGACGATAAATTAATGCGGAATTCAGCTTTTAAAGTGCAAAACGTTCGATTCTGGCACCGACTTACCTCGAAATGCGAACTGTTGCCGTATTAGTATGATTTGAAGTTATTACGACAAGCAAAGGCATAGACACGATATGTATCGCTTAATCTGCTGCCTATAGCAAAACGATGGGAAATTTATTGGTCATATTATAATTTGACGGTTTGGCGTACACTTGCGTCAGAGGCGGATTGGCTATGCGGGAACTCGGGAGGTTTCCCGATGGGCCGCGGTCATTTTGAGCCGGTCCGCGCTGTAGAAGGATGTAAAATATTTTTCTTTCAAAAAACGGGCCGCTTGATGAATGTTTCCCGGGCCTGTTTATCTAGCCAGTCCGCCTCTGACTTGCGTAAAAATTAATAAAAACGAACCCGAATTTCCAAGTTGATTTTTCTCCCGAATGTCCAATCGTATTTCTCCTATTTTTTTGAAACACCCTGTATAGTGCGCCTGTAAAAATAGCAATGAATGAATCTTTTCTGAACATTTTTAAATCACGTCATTGTCTCTGTTATTAATTGAGATACACTGTGAAAGCGATTTTTTGTTAAAATTTGAAATTAAAAAAATCTTCAAAATAAAATTCGCGTACATTGAATTGGGGCCCGTTTTTAGTGGCACGTTAATTTCGTTGCCAAATATATTGAAATTGTAACATTCGAACTTTTCGATGTTTCAAATATGACAATTTTTATAAATCGTTCCAGAAACCATCGTTTTGCTACTTGCAGCACCGATATATACTTAATAGTGCTTCAAAACCAGAAACATAAACCGTTTGGTCCGTTCATCGTTAAAATTTTCGTCTCGTACAAATTCGATCAAAATTAAACGAATTATTCTGCAGTTTTAGTAGCGATACATGCTGTTGCAGTTAGGATTACTGTTAAGTATATATCTATCCCTTTTGCACAAGAAACGAAGCGAAATCCGAATCGAACCCTGTCTATGTCTTGCCACCTTCCCAACTGACGTCACCTTATCTGATAGTGATAAAAAAATGCCTACGAACAATATTTTTTATACATAAAAGTAGTATTTTCTCCCCAGCTACAAACGACTCCTTCAGCAGAATAAACAGTACAAAAACTTTTGCCGAGGCCGAAATACTGACCCGACGGTATATTAAAGACCCTCCCGTGCACACTTTCGGCCAAGTTTTATCCGTTGACGAGAACGTTATCTACCTCATGTAAAAAATTTCGTAGAGCGATCAGGCTTTTTCTTTCTCGATTAGACCGGTCTTTGATATACTGCGTCTTCACTATTAAAAATTGTACCATGAGCATCTTGTAGAGTGATGTATTTTCCGTTAAGATTAATAAAGGTTTACTTGAATGTGTCGGATATTTTTCCTTAACAAGCAAAAATTTTTGGGATGAAGGTAATTAACTTTTCAATATACGCTTTTGTTGTTGGACAGCTCTTTTTTTTTGCGTTCACGTTTCATCTGTGTGCATGCCTGTAGCGTTTTTTCTTGATCGGTTCTTCGTTTTACCTAATCGTTGCACTTACATCATTATCTTTCTCACTATCACTCACATTAGATACCTTTTATTTACTAAAAAAAATTATGTAGACCTGAAATTTTGCCATTAGCAGCCGTTAGATTGCTTCGTCTGATAAGATCAGAAGCGGGATATTTTTGGCACCTGTTTCATGAAACTTTAGAGTAGGCTTAAAGTCGAAAATCGAATTTGGATACCTTAGAACTGGGTCATTTGATGTTTGTACAAGGAATTAAACAAAATGGGAGAGGATTTTTAAACATGCTTGGGTAAAATAAAGATTTCATGTGACGTGTGAGAGTCGGTGTGGTTTTTGCTGTTTATTTTTTAAGTTAGCCAGCTTATTGCTTAAATTGTGTTGTTGAATGGGAACTAGATGTAAAACTAACTTATATTTCCAGGGGAATCGACATACCTGTGAAGGGGGCCGCAAACATCTAATGGCATGTCTTCAACAAAAAAAAAATTAAAGATGATGTAAATATTGCATGTAATTCATCTGAAAGTGGTTTTTAATTGTCACATTTTCATGTATCCATGTCCATATTCTCATGTGCTTGCTTTACGTTGTTATTTTTTTTAAGGGAAGTCAAAACTAGTTTTAAACTTGTGTTTTTAGAAAGTACAAATTCTTTTGTTTTTGATCTCAGTTGTTATTTTTTTTGTCTTGCCAATGTTTTATTTGGTTACCAAGATAATATAAGTTTGCCATTTCCTTTTTTTTTTAACTACATTTGTTCGAAGAAAAGAACAAAATGGACAGTCGTTTTAAAAATACGCCACAGTCGAAGCGTGTAGAAATATGATGTAGAAAATTCGCCGTGTGGTTGTAATAAAACAGTTCGTTTCATAGAATAAAAAACGTTTCATCGATAATTTTCAGGTTTCGGATCTCAGAAATGAGTGTTTTTGACGTTTGAACGGGGAACTTTCTACATTAGGTATTTAAACGCCATGTATATACGAACGCCTACATGTGTAAATATGTACGAAATATTGTGTTCATTTTTGTCTCTGTGTTTCAATGTCTTGGTTCAAAATTTAACTGTTTAAAAAGAAAATTTTCCTCTCTTCCTAGAAAAGGCTGTTATATTTAAAATTAAATTTATAGATTTTCATTTTAGATTAGGCCTATTTAATTTTTTAACGAACGGTTTTAGGAAAATTGAAATATTTTAAAAATGTAGTAGGTTGTTTTTATTTTATAATTTTATGTACTTACAATGCCAAATTTTAATAGTAATAGTATTGTCATTAAATATATGTTAATCGTACCATGGTAATTAATTTCTCAGTTATTCTTTACACGAAACCTAAAATTTGGTTGAGCAGACGACAGACCATGCTGTAATTGTTACGGAGATTTTCAAAAACGGTCATTTCCACGATCGCATTGACGGTAGTTCATTTGTACAGTCACCGAATATCGTACAAACGAAAAATGTATGTTTTTCTGTAAAAAGTACAGACTTTTCGATTTCGATCCCAGTGCACCAAAACGAGTTTATTCGAAAAAGATGTAAGTGTAAAATGGCCTTTCGATGAGAGTTTTGCAAGTCTCCTGTCCATAGCTTCGTGTTACGACCAAATATTGTAAAATTTGGTATACCTACTTAATCATGTAATGTGGCTAATGTATATTTAGTTATAAAATGGTTTTAAATATCACCGTTTTTTGGTGGTGAAAAAACGTAAATGTGATAGGTTCTTTAAATAAAATATTATTCGTTTATGACGAATACTATTTTTTATATATAGATCTATATATGTGTAGAAAATTATATTGTATAGTTTTTATATATGAATTATAATGTTAGTTTTTTGTGATAAATGCTCTTGATTGGAAAATGTAAGTAGTACGATGGAGGACAGTTGGCGCAATTTTTTTTTTTTAGATCTGAACGTAATTTACTACTTAAATAATTTGACATATTTAGAAGAAATCAAACGAATATGATTAAATATATATTTAAAAGTACTTCCTTCGATTTTCTTTATCTTGTCCGCTAGTTTCCTTCACCAAACACTAGAATGGAACATGGATGGAGTGCATCAGAATCGAATTTGTATGTAGTAAACAGGTAAGATTATTCATCACCAGCCATAGACATGTCATTTATCAAACAATTTAGTCATTACATATTTGACTACAGACGTGTTTTAGTTTTGATAGGTGATTCTAACCTACAAAGTCATGTTACTGAATGCCTACTGGCACAAAACATGTACCTATTGGCAGAAATCGACGTCTTTATTTGCTTAATAAGTGGCAACAATTTTGAACTATTCTAAAACTATACCGTCCTTTTACAAAAAAGATATAAACATTCAAAATTGAAGCAATCTACATTAAAAAAAACAGTTTTTACCACAAAACAGGTTTTCACATTAGGGGTACGTTCTGTAATTGTATCAGTAAAACGCACTAAAAATTTTTGTAGAGTAATTGGCAACCTGCCAGGGAAATTAATGAACTGTATTTTGCATCAGCTGTTGTGTAGTCTATCAGGGGCTTGATTTTTGAAAACAGGAGAATTAGTTCATTCGAGAAAATTACGTCATTTTCTCTTGACACACAGATAATGTGATTTTTGAAATTTTCTTGTGGAATATTTTCTCTAGATATCAAGAGAAATAATTCCACCGGGTTTTGTCGGGGGAATTGGCGTTTTCTCCGAATAGTTTGAATCCGAATGTCATCTCATGCTCATGCGCAAATTGTCACTTCATTCATTCGCTGTTCGAAGGTGCGTAATCATTTGAAATTTGAAATTTGTAATGGATCCAAATAATTTATTATTAAATCTAAATATAATGAATAATTTGCAAGCTGCAGAAATTGTAAACCTTCCGCGACAATTAATTAAACCATTTAAAGTTTCAGCAATATCTGACCACTGTTCTTGGGCCTTTTTGTGAGTAAAAGTAGAAGAAAACTTTCATTTTAAAAAGTTCTTCGTTGTTTCTAAGCATATTAATTTCTTTTTTGCGCTTTCGACGTGAATGAACGCTTCATCATAATTATAATAATATTAATTTTTTTGTGTTTTCAAATATAGTTCTATTCAAATTGAAGTTATATTAAATTACTACGCATATCATGGAGATGTCTAGTCTCCCTGACGAATATAATGACATTTACAAAACAAACTTCAAAATCAAATCAAGTGACTAAACATCAGGGTCGCCAATAATGGCACTGAAATATTGAAGAAAACTCTGCCCGCTGATTGGTCAGTTGCAAATATATCCTCGACATACGGCATAAATTAAATTCTCTAGAGAATTGGATTCCTTCAACGTTCAAAAATAAGTATTTATGTTTTTAAGAGAAATTTGTCCGGTGAATTTTTTCTCTGGAGAATCAGTTCTCCTGTTTTCAAAAATCAAGCCCCTGGAACAGTACTACTTTATACCTACAGGCAGAGTGACCTACTCAGTTTGTACTAACATCTATTTCAACTGTCAGTTTTATGTTTGGTGACATGGTGACTAATATTTTGATATTTTTTTACGTCCTGTTCTTGTCAAAATGGATTTCGATAATTTGCTGTGGACTATCGACGATGTTCGGGGCATATAAAAAACCGCTTCTTTCTTTATTTTCTGAAACTAAAACTTTTTAACTGCATGCACTTTGTAGGTTATATCTCACCCACATTGCCTATTAAATTTTAGTATTTCGTTACATGTACTTGGAGAAAATATTCAATTTTGGAGCAGCCAGAGATCTTCATTCAAGATTCATAAAGTTTTTTTTAGAGTTATACTCATTTCTTAAGTTTCACAAAGCAAAACAAGAATTAAAATTGTAAATATACTTTTATTACAAATGACTTAAACCTCACTATGGATAAAACAATAAATAATTGTTTATAAAAAGAGAATCGTACGAGGCGAATGCAAACAAACGTTTCTCACCGTCCCCGTCCCCTTCCCCTCTGAAAGTTGTTTCTTCCCCTCCCACCCGCGTTGCCCTTACCCTTCGGTGGGGGACTCTTCGGCCTGAGAGCCTCTATCCTCTCTGTGCAACCCGTGGTGATCGTATTGTTGCCAAAATAGCTTGCGTATAAATCAGCGTTGAAATTGGAATTTGTCAGTTCGGGACCTATCGTCAGCCACCCAGGTCGTATCGTACTGTCTCTACCAAATACGTGCAACCGTCTCCGCCCTGAAAAAAAAAAGTTGGAGTGAAACGATTCATGGTAGAGATGTGTGTACATACCTAAACAAAAATGTTCTATAATGTGAAATATTTCAACGGGTTTTTCCAAACTCCCATACTCGTTCTCTTCGGAAATTATGAGATCTATGTCCACGTTCGCGTGGATAAAATCCCCGTCGGTTGACCGTCGAACTGTACCTTTAATACCCATTAGGCAATGTTCTTTCGTTCTTTGGAATACGGCCCTCGGATCGAGGTTCTTCGAATGGCCTGGGTTTTTTATGTTGGTCCTTATCCAACATATATCTTCGCACCTAAATAAAGAAAGGTAACTTTCTTACAAATTTTGTGATCTCGTACAGGGTGTTCCATCGTTAATTGATCGAATTTAAGGTTTGAATTCGAGTGGTTAAAGTAATAAAATAAAACTTTTATGAAGAAATGTCCAGTAATACTTTGTTTTTGTATCAAAATAAAAAAAATAATAATATTTTCTTTAAATATATTTGATGTAGAACTTCGGCTGACGATTTATCTAATTAAAATTAAAAATCTGCTAAATGGGAGTTGAAAATTGATTTTTCCCTGTTAGTTTTTTATTCCTCACTATATTTTGATAATTTTTAATAAAAGCTGTGTTATTCGAAAATCTTTCTATTAATCTATCCAATTTCATTTTAAAAATTCCTATTCAAATTGTGCGTTACCGGTTACGTTACACCACTTATAGTAATGCCGCAATACACCCTACACTCATTCCGTACCTTCTAAAGCCCCATTTTCTCAAACACACCCTTCCCATGTCCAAACCCTCCGAGCTTCCACACCACAAAAACACGAAACTCCTCTGCGCAGCCACTTCGCCCACATCTAAGTTCATAATATGGTCCCACGACCAGAACTGCATGTTGGTCGCCCCCATAGTCCTCTGATACTCCTCCAAGGGAGGTTCGATTAGGATGACGTCGAATTTACTGTTGATGTTTTTGAGATCGTACGTTGCTAGATCACATTTTAAATACATCGGCGGGGTGGCTGTCTGTTCTATAAGTTCGTCTTTGAGTTTTATCAGTTCGCGAAGCTTGGGGTACTCCTCGAAACGGTCTGCGAGACCCACGTCACGAATAAAATTCTGAGGCCTTTGGCCTGTGTCTACAAAATGTTGGCAGTAGTCGTTGTGTGGATTTGAGGATTGTGTACCCTAAAATAAATATATTCGTATCTAAAATGTAGCTATTTCTTGTTCTATTAGTATATTTACTGTTAAATCAGTAAGATAATTCTTATATTACTGAAATTCACCTTCAAAAACATTGACGAGTCTCTATAAACGAGTTCATCTGGAGTGTCCTTTTTATAATCATATTTATCATTTTCTTGACTATTGGCTGATTCTTTATTAACTAGCTTCTTAACGGAGCCTTCTGCAGTACCCAACACCTGTCTTAATTCCTCCGCTCCAGAAACTCCCAACTAAAAATCATGTTTAAGGTTATGTACCTATTTGTCAACAATATTTATGTAACCAACCGTTTGGGCTAATAGCAACTTTCTTTTACGTGATTTTTCGCGTAATTCTTTTAACATATCCCCCATTTTAAAAAAACTCCACAATGTTTAACAACAATCAGTCAAAACACATAATGACGTTGTCAATGTTTTTGACAGTTTTTTGTCTCTACTTCTTCTTCACTTTTATGGCCTCCACCTTGGCCAGCTGGCTACAAATTTTATAGTTAACAAAGTTTTCCTAATGTGCCTATTATTCTCAAACACAGTACTGTATTTATAATTAATGCATAGACTATAAATAATATGAAAATGATATATTCTACCATGTTGAGTGACATTTCTGTTGCCAATGTTTAAACATATAATATTCTATTTATGAATACAAACCTCTCTAATATTTTTGAGTACCCTGTATTTGTATAATATGCACAATACTAGAGCGTGTTAGTTGAATTTTCTAAAATAATCTGTCATCTCCTCCCCCTTATACATACAACCAATAATATAACACAGTGTTAAGTTGGTTGCCGGCTTAAAAGGGGCTCAGTTCATAAATTTTAAAGTAAAAATAGTTATTTAACTTTTTCATAATTTTATATATGTATACTTACGAATGTTTTGTAGGACAAAAATTTGTTTTAATTTTTAGATCAGTAACTTCAGGCAATATAATGATAACATTTTATAGGAAATATGTCCATCATTTTTTTCTACAAATATTTTAAATAAAAAAGGTACTGATAGTGAGGCAAAAACTACTCCTTTGTAAGAAATTCTCAGTTTCCTATGCGCGCAGCGCACGGCTTTTGAACTCTTTTGGCCGTGTTAAAATTTCAAAGAGTCACTACTAGGTTTACAGATCCTGAAAACGCGAAAAACTTTTAAAACTAAGGTGACTATAGCCATTTTGTTATACTAAACTCATCTATTTACAATTGTATACAGTTTGTCAGCCGTTTGTGTCGTTTTTAATTTAACTGTAAGATGTCCTGTAATTTTTTACCGCCGCGTGTTGTGGATATGAACAAAAATTCGGACACGCTATCTGAAGTATCCGAGAGCGGCACTACTACATCGGGGTGGAACTCCAACTGGGACTCTAGGGAGGAACTGAGGGATTTCGTCACCAAACTAGGACTAAAGGACGTTTCGGACTTGTATCAGGACCGCTTCAGGGTCGACAGGAAGAAGTTGGAGCAGATGCTTACCGGTGAGGAATGAAACATAATTTTCAGTTTATTTATCTTTTCTTTTCCAATTTAAAACTTTTTTTTGTTAGTGTGTAAGGCGATATTTTATTTATTTACTTCTGATAACAACTTAGGAGCATTTTTTCTTAATTTTCAGGTGACAATGACGCTCTTATTCCAGCAGACGTGTTTTTTGCTAAGATTATGGAAGATACAGATACGTATATCACCTGGCCGAATAAATTGAAGATAGGAGCAAAATCTAAGAAAGGTACATTTATTGAATGCCATTTTCTCTCGATAATATACACTGTTTTTCACTTACCTGTTACTTATTCGTCTTGTACGTTTTCCAGATTGGTATAAACTTTGAATAAATTAAATAATTTTAATTTGTTTATCTTTAAACCTTTTGAGTACATTCAAAAAACGTTTTCAGGAATTTCAACCTCATATCAGGTACATAATTTTTTTTAAGTAATATATTTGCGTTTCAGACCCCCATGTGCGAATTGCAGGCAGGCCAGACGACGTCCAAGCTGCCAAGGAGAGAATCATGACAATTCTAGACACCAGGGTAAGACGCCACACTTCCAAAGACGATTTCGAATTTAACGACTCGTTTTCCAGTGCAATCGTGTGACGATGAAAATGGACGTGAGCTATACGGACCACTCCCACATCATTGGAAAAGGCGGTTTGAGTATAAAACGCGTCATGGAGGAAACGCAGTGTCACGTCCACTTCCCCGACTCCAACCGTTCCAATCCCACCGAGAAGAGCAACCAGGTCTCCATATCGGGCGATATCGAAGGCGTGGAGTGTGCTAGAAGTCGCGTCAGGGTAAGTTACATAAAATTCGAGTCTTCTGACAAAATACTGAAAGATCAAGATTAATACTAGGAGCTGATCCCGCTGATATTTGGTTTTGAGCTGCCGATAATGTCTCAAAACGTCGACGCTACTTGCCCTTACGTCATCAAGATCCAAGAGCAGTACAAGGTGCAGGTAATGTTCAAGACGAGGCCCAAATTGCATGCCACCCTCGTGCTGGTCAAAGGTGTGGAATGGGAAGTCGATCAAGTCAAACACGCCACGCTTCTATTGATAGAGTACATATGCGACAGTTTAGCGGTAAGTAAAAGGAACGTCTCCACGTCTCGACTGAACGGTTTTAATGTTTAGAGCCAGATCCCCGTTCAGATGTCCATGGAGATCTCACCACACCACCACCAGATAGTCCTGGGGAAGAACCACTCCAATCTGAAGGCCGTAATGCAGTATACCAGTTGCCAGATAATGTTCCCCGACGCTCAGGATCCGAACATTCCGAATTTGAAGAAGAGCAATGTCACTATAACGGGAAATATCCACAGCGTGTACAAAGCCAGGCAGCTGCTGATGGGGAGCCTGCCGTTGATCATTATCTTCGATCTCCCGGAAGATTCGATGGCCCTGAGGACGCGGCCCGAGCAAATCGCAGAAATTCAATCGTCTTGCGATTTGGTTATAAATATCAGGCAGAAAACGAAGCAGAACACCAAGGCGTGCGTCATCAAGGGGATTGAGCGTCATGCCAGTAAGTAATATAGTTAACCAGTTATTGTTTGTTATTCGTGGAATTTCGAAACCCATTTGTTAAATACAGGGTGTCAAAAAAATGGTATACCCAACTTGGGGAGGTGATAGTTTTATTAATATACAGTGTGCCCCGTTTTTCAGGTTAACACCTCTGGAAATGTGAGAAGGCTGTGGACTTTCCGCAAGCCAATTTTTTTACAAATAGTACCTTGAATAATATATTCTAGTAATCATTTTATTAATATAACAAAAGCCTGGCCTACTACGATTTTTTAAATGTGTCGTTTTTCCAAAAAGTGGTATTAGGCATTTTTTTATCAAGAAGATAATATTACCAAGCTATTCAACACCCATCAAAATACCCATATAACAAATTTGAATAACAAATGTCTATTAAGTGTTTTTTTATGGGGTGCCAAACTTCGAAAAATCAGACAACTAAAAATTATAATAAGCAGGTCAAAGATTGCCATGAAAGTGAAAACAAGTACCAATCGGACAAAGAAAGAATACAGACACTATAAATTTAACACTTTTAGTTGCGGCTATAGTAAAACTAATAATTAACGTACAAAAATGTAGGTAATGAATTATAAATACTAAGTTGTTAAACGAAAAATTGCAAAACAATCTAAATTAAATTCTAGTTTGCTCGAACTATGGATTTTTACTTTTGCAGTTTTATAAAATAAATAGTTTATAAAAACAGACCAAGGAATTTGGACGACTTAATGAATTGCATAAGATAAGCTTGTGCAGATATTATTCCACAACTGCTATGTAAAATATTTTTAAATTTAGGAAGAGGATTGGAAAATGTTCAATTGTTCAACTGGAAAGAGTGGAGAAAACTAAAACTATATTTAGATTAACGTTTTTCAATTTTTTTGTTTAAGATCTTATTATTTATAATTCATTAATGTTTTTGTAAGTTATTATTTTTATAATTAATTAATATAATTAAAAGTATTTAATTTATAGTGTCTGTATTCTTTCTTTGTCCGATTGGTATTTGTTTTCACTTTCATGGCAATCTTTGACCTGCTTATTATAATTCTCAGTTGTCTGATTTTTTGAAGTTTGACACCACATAAAAAACACTCAATAGACATTTGTTGTTCAAATCTGGTATATGGGTATTTTGATGGGTGTTGAATAGCCTGGTAATAATATCGTTTTAATAAAAAAATGCCTAATACTAGTTTCTGGAAAAATGACCCTTTTAAAAAATCGTAGTAGACCAGGCTTTTGTCACATCAATAAAAGGATTAGTAGAATATAACCTTCCTTCAGCGTATTATTTGTAAAAAAATTGGCTTGCGGAAAGTCCACAGCCATCTCACATTTCCAGAGGTGTTAACCTGAAAAACGGGACACAGTGTATATTTTTTAAATTTCCCCTACACTATTAGTATGAATAAATTGCTTCGTATGCCAAAGCTGTGAACTATACTCAAGCGTAGGCCTTACCGAAGTATAATAATCATTAATAAAATAAAGAAATAGTAGCAGTCCCAAGTGTGAACCTTGAGGAACATCTGAATAAGCTTTATATTAATTTGAAACCATATCATTACAAGTGTGTTATAACAGAATATTATTCTCAACATGAACGATTATATGTGATCACCGAAATGACACATGTATGGGATATAACTTTTCTAGGCGGTTTTTAGAGAAATTATCTGAAAATTATGGTGTCATGAACAAGATTTTTTAGAAATAGACAGAATCTATTATTTTTCTCGACTCTATAAAGGGCTACAACTCCCTTAAGAAGCGTTTTAGATCACACGTTCGTTAGAACTTAACTTAATTTTTCTTCTGATCAGTACTATCGAATCTTGAACACGATTTATACAGGGTGTCCCGAAATTGGGGGCAATATTTATAGAGATTAAATTTTCTTTATATAAACGTGGGTCAAAAAGTTCTTCCTAAGGAAGTTATAGCCACTTAATAGGACCACTCTGATGATGTTTTTTTCTAAATAACTCCGAAACCAGTTGAGACAAATTTATAAAATTTGGTAACTAGCTTAACTCTTACATGCTCAGTTTGGTACTAAAACGAAATTTAAAAATTTTCATCACATCCAACACTGGGGGGGAGGGGGGTAAAATTTGGCATAACTTTTTTATGCGCAGACTTTTTAAATTTTGACTGAAAAGTATGAAATTTCATAGTTTTTTATTAAGAAAAGGTACTCTTGGTTCATATTGGTAGAATGTTAAATTTTTGTGTAAAATCCGTTTAAAAATAATGTTACATGTGTTAATGTGGGAATCGAAATTGTCAATATTTCTTATCGTCGCAGGTTTTGAATAACAAAAATGCGTTTGACGTTATTTGCATTGACAGTTCAGTTATCTACTTTTTGCGAATTGTTATTTTATTATAGAAATTTATTATTTTTAGTAAATTATTATTTGACAAAGTAAAAAAAAACAATTGAAATAAAATTATTAAATACAATAAACTAATAAAAGTAATTGAATACCGCACTATTAATAAAACTTATCTTTATCTCAGTAGTAATTTTTATTTTATTTTTATTTTAGCAAGTGCTCAAACAGATTTCCATTTTGCTGAATACATTTTTCAGCTATTTTGTGCGATTTGATTTGCAGCCGAATAAACGAATCCTCTGTTGTAATTCTTCCAAAGAATTTATTTGTGTAACATAAACTACAGCCTTCATCCTACCCCATAGAAAGTAATCTAGAGGATTTAGGTCTAGAGACCGAGGCGGCCATGGAGTGGGACCACCTATACTTATCCACCTGCCAGAAAAATTATCGTTTAACCAATTTATGGTATTATGGGTAAAGTGACGTGGTGTCCCATCTTGTTGATAGTGTAATGTTAAGCGTATGTTTAACGGTGCATCATCCAATAGTTCTCTTACATCATTTTGCAGAAAGTTTAAGTATTCTTCTGCAACGGGAAACTGAATTAGTCCAAGTAGCTGGTCCCCTAAAATTCCTGTCCACACATTTATCGCAAATCTGTTTTGAAAATTTGTGCGCTGTATTGCCCGTGGATCTTCCTCTGACCGGAAATGGGTATTATGAATATCTGCTAGCTGTACATTCGTAAAATATTGCATTTTCGACTGATAACAATTCGCAAACAGTAAATAACTGAACTGTCAATGCAAATGACACCAAACGCATGTTTGTTACCTGCGATAATAAAAAACATTGAAAATTTCAATTTCCGGTGACATTATTTTTAAACGGATTTTACACAAAAATGGAACATTCTACCAATACGAACCAAGAGTACCTTTTTTTACTAAAAAACTGAAAATTTAATTCTTTTCAGGCATAAAAAAGTTATGGTAAATTTTACCCCCCTCCCCCCAGTGTTGGATGTGATGAAAATTTTTAAATTTCGGTTTAGTAGCGGACTGAGTACGTAAGAGTTAAGTTAGTTACCAAATTTTATAAATTTATCTCAACTGGTTTCGGAGTTATTTAGAAAAAACCATCGTCAGATTGGCCTCTTTAAGTGGCTATAACTTCCTTAGGAATAATTTTTTGACCCACGTTTATATAAAGAAGTAATCTTTTTCGACATAGAACATCCTGTAGAAATATTACCCCCTAATTTCGGGATACCCTGTATACAAAAATTAACGTTATAATTGACAATGTTAATATCACAGACTTATCTCACTTCCAGTGAACATCTACAAAGCGAGAAACCTTATCCTGGGCCTCGAGGAGCCACCGCTGTGTGCCGACATCCCTTCGTCTTACCATCTGCCGAACAACGCTCCCCTGCATTCAAATTTCCCAACGAGTGATCTTCTCCCAACGCCTACTAACGCAAATCCTTCGCCCATGTCCCCTCTGCTCAGTCCCCTGATTTCCCCAACTTGGCAATATCCTTCCGCGAGTGTCGGACAGACTGCTCCGCCATTCGTAGGAATAATGCAGCAACCTCAGTTTTTGTACAACGTAATGCAGCAGTCTATGGCGAGCAGCGGGTATGTAATCAATAATTGTAGAAAATATATTTTCCAACAATATTAACGCACCATTAAAAGTGAGCTTTGATTTCAAAATCGATTTCTTTCCGAGGGTTTCTCTGATTTTGCATTGTTTTTTTTTTTATAGATTTAGTGGGAAATAACGATGATAAAGATACAAACTTTTGCTAAAATTTAAGTTTTCAGCATATACAGGATGCGAGAAAAAGTGTTGAACAAATTTGGTTCTTTTCTATTTTTAATGAAGTGATATTTTTGGCGAAAATAAAATTTTCTTGGAACACGAAACCTCATCTCCTATGAACCTTTTTTGTTCATTTGCATATTCGTATTCATTAAAAAAAAATGCAATGAAACGTACAAATTGCAAATTTGATGTGAAACTTCGCACATGGAAATGCGAATACAAATATTCAAAACCTCCCTAATTTTCATTTCTTGTTGCAAACATGAAGTATTTACTGCTCATGCAGGGTGTTTCAGGAATAATTGAAGAAAAACAAAACTTGATTTTGGGCAGTCGAAATAAAACAAAAAAGACCAATGAAGAAACATTTCTTTTTCGTATAATTGACATTTTTGATTTCAAGGTATTGTACATTGAATACATTGTACATTGAATAATTGAATAATATTGAAATACATTGAAATACAATGTATTTCCTTGTCGTGACGATACGACGCAAAACAGCTGGTTCATTCGTCGGTTGTCTCACCTATGACACACTGATGAGGACTAATAAGTCTGAAACCAGTCTGTGCCTGGTGGGTTAAATTGACGAACAACTCTAGCTGTTGCACTAGGTGTTGCAAGTATAATTCAATGCCGGTAGGGGCATATAGCCCTCGGAGTAGTTGTTTCTCGCAACAGTGGCAATTAAAACTTGGACGTCTAACAGCTTGAAGTGTCCTAATTTTTATTTAAAAAATTTTCAGAAAAAAACGTGTCGAAAAAATGCATCTGGAGGACAATTATTCATAGAAAAAAAATCTAAGTCCTGTGTTCCAAAAAAATGTTGGAGAAATGTTCTGGTTATTATTAACAGAACACGGTGTAGAGATGTATATATTTTTTTAAAATCAACTGACGATAGTCTGCAGTCTCTCATAATTTTTTTATTTTAGACTGAGAGCATTACATTTCTCTAACCTAAGGCTGTCTGAAAAAAAAGGAATATAAGCGAAACCGTACTTATTATTTGAATATTTCAGATATCAGTCGCTTCACGGCCAATTTTCTTCAGGGAATTCCTCTTTGGAACAGAGCAGGGAAACATATTCTTCCATTTCGACCAACAGCTCGTTAGGCTCGAGCCCCCTGCCCAGCCCAAGGACTTCTATATCCCCGAGTTACTATCGGAACTTTACAGAATCGCCTTCGTCTGATAAAATGGGTTAGAACAGTTCTTTTATCACTTTATCTAATCGCATTTTTTTAAATCTTTCGTGACTATTCTTTTTCTAGTTGAGTTGTCGGCAGTACTGAACGAAATGAACCTGCCGGGGAACTACCATGGACCGTCGGTCGACAAAAAGCAAGACAGGAACAGCCTGACTCCTTTCGAACTCGAAAATAAACGTCTGGCCGGATACCGCGCCATGCAAACCAGACCGGCTCCTGGCATCTACAGAGTACCGAACAATTCTTGGTCCGGCTACGGGATCAGCCACACCAGCCCCGCTGGTGGCCTCCCGGATAAGAACAGGGGCAAGAAGGTACAACGTTTACTTATTGGTTCTTTCTTTATTCGGGTATTTTGCCAAAAATAAAGAATAGTAAACAAAATCCTGCAGATGACGTTCGAAATTGCAACTTGTTTTTAAATTTTTTAATTCGTGGACTGGCAAAGTCCTCTCGTACAATATTTTTCAAACGGTTTTGTTTTTTTTCCAGGACGAAGACATATGGAAGACCCCAACGGCCAAGCAAGGCGACTCGTACAACCTTCCCTCCACGTCGGGAGCGGCGGCTTTGAGTACCAGCAACATCCTCGACCACACCTCGACTCACGTCCTGAACCGCGTCACCACCTCCAGCTGGACGGACTTGCCCGGCATGCTGTCCGCGCTGGGCCTGGAACGGTACATAACTGTCTTCACGACTCACGAAATCGATTTGACAACGTTCTCGACTTTGACTGATCAGGATCTCATCGAAATCGGAATTAACGCTTTCGGGGCTCGCAGGAAGATATTGCTGGCGATATCAGGTATGGTGTTGGTCATAAGTCTTTCAGAGGGGTTTTATCGTTGTGAATGTGTTTCGATTTCCAGAGTTAAATAAGAGGTCTAGTCCATTCTCGGCGGCTCCGGGTGCGGAAAGGAAAAGCTCCTCCTCCACCAACTCCACGTTGAGCCCCAGAGAGAACAATTGGTAGACTCCTGAATCCGATGGAAACCCGATTTGAACCGGTGAGAAAATCGACAATGCCCTTTTTGATGACTGAATACGGACCGGAGATGCGATTTATGATTTTCGTAGATATTTGTATTGTCTTTCATCGTGTATTAAGAAAATGGTTTTGGTATGCTGATAGCTATACTAATATTGTAGGGAAAGGGACGGGATCGAGCGGGATATTGAACGTTTTCTCGATCCTTTCCGGTGATAGCAACATTTGATGTTGTTTTTTTGTTGTGATATTCGTTTTATATTGAATAAATTGTTATAAATGGTCGTCGATGGTTAACAAAAAAGCAAGGGTCAATTGCGTGCATATATTTATACAGTGTATTTGGTAAGTGGTCGGTTTACCTGGTTTTTTAGCTGTTTTCAATGATTTACTGTAAACTATTAAGTAAAACATCACGATTTTGAATGTTTTATTTAACTAATTTCCGTAAATGTTATGACAGTTAAATTCATTGGGTTTTTATTTATTATTTGTATGTTTTAATTATATTTATTGTTGCCTACATTTTTACAGTAAATGATGTAATATTTTAAGCCCGCAATTTATTAAAGTATTATTATGGCAAAAATTCATTGCAATAATTCACATTTTTAGCCTATATGTTTTATATGTATTGATTTTGTAAGCAAAAGTTTTGATTTATTACAAGTTCATAGTATTTTAGGTATAATGAATTAAAACTTTTGTAGATTGTTCTTTATTGTACTGATTTACTATTTATATTATTGATATTACGTATTTATGGTTATTTATTATTATTTAAATATAAAAAATGTGTTATGGATATATATTATACAAAATTTATAAAATTAAAGTGATACAATATAAAACTGTTACCTTAATCATCGCCTCTTCTCACAAATCAATCTATTTGAAATTTGAACGAATTTAAAATTGACCATTTCGACGGTAGAAGTCGCCTCTAACTTCCTAAAAAATCAATGTGAAGTGGCCCTCCTGCAGAATTCGATACTACGGCTGCACCCCTCTAGCGGCTGGACGACGAAGAATCATCGGCGGTGGCGCACGCGCCTGTGTGTGTGTGACTGTGTTGTTCCATAAAGTCGGTTCTTGACTTTCTTGATGTTATGTGGTGTGTGCTGTAAAATTAATAGTTTATTTCATGTTTTGTGTTAAAATTAACATTGTTTTGGTGTTTGCTGCAAGTCTGGAGTGAAGCATCGTCGAAACATCTTCTATATTAGCGTGGTAAGTGATAGTATCATTTTTCAGGACCACCTTCGGTCTTAGTAGAAACAACTTTGCTGTACGGAATCGATTATAGTAATCTGACATTTTTTCTGCCGATTGCGTTTTTTTCTACTGCGACCTCTTGCATTTTTCGATTATAAACATGACGATTTTTTCGTTGAAATGTACACAAGTACTATAATAATGGCTTTTTATGGGGTTACGTACCTACGGTCGAATCGATTGCAGAAACAACGGCTGTCAACTGTTTCTATTGTTTTATGTTGGAGGTTAGAATATGCAAAACTGGCTCTGTATCAATGAAATTATATAAATATAAAAATCGATTCCATAACATGCAGCAACAGTCGACTTAATACTCATTAGTCCGTAGGTAATTCGATAAAGAACAAATTACTCGCCCTTCAATTAGTGTCATTCACGAAAATGTGACCAAAATCTCTGTCTTGTTATTTGACTATGATTATACCTAGTCGTGGTCGTAATGAACAATTCTACTTAAAGCAAACAAAATTAGCATTAATTTGGTAACGAGGATGAATTTAATACCGATTTTTCAAAAGTTGTTTTTTTGTGATTAAGTTCTAAGAAAGCATTAGTCACTGTTTGCGATTTGTCGTAGGTATGCTATAATTTTGGAGTTATTGCAACTACCACGCTGTTTATTTTTGTTAAAAGTCACGAATTTCTCAAGCGTGAACAATCGCAAATCAGTAGGTAGCTAGTTGGAAAAAATAATTCAGAACAGACTTTAAATCATAGCACACTCGAGTCAGTTTTAGTGTCACTTGCGGCGATATCTCGTGCATATTTACACAAAGTAGTGTTGGTATTATAATTATACTTCAAGAATTCCTATAAACATCATTAGAAAAATGCTTTCTGTGGACAATACAGGATATTAAAGGATTTCCCGAAAATAAGTACGTGAGTGTCTAACTTATAAGTATTTTTTTTTTTAAATAATATTGTCGGGAGCGACGGTTTATTAGGTTATTTTTCAAACTCTCGTCGCGGTGGCCCTGAAACACGGGCGAAAAGAGAAATGACGCCAGAAAAGCCATTGTCGATTGCCATAAGTCACTTGCGACTAAATTTGGATCGGGGCCAGAAGCACCCCACAATCTGAATGAACTTTTTCCGCAGCCATACATTACAATAACGGCATACAGGCACCGGTACGTTACATGATCGTTACAAGAACCAAACTGCGGCGAATTTGAAATAATTATGCAGTGCCGGTAAGGGACATTTTCTTTTAATATCCCGGATATTGAACGAAAGGATGAATTTACGGGCGGTAGAGCTAGGTACTGGATTTTGAAAATTACATAAGTTCTGTTGATTCGTAATTCTTCCATTTTATTCAAAAAACAGTCCATTTTCGAGTTTTTTCTAGTTTAGTCTAATCTAAGCTTATTGCATAGTCCATTTCACAAAAAAATGTATGGGAATTAATAAATATTAATGTACATGTAAAATAAGAGGGATGCCTATCATTGATTACAGTTACTTTAAAAACTGTTTAATTTTACATAGAGTGGTGAACATTTATTACCGAATTTGCTTAACTTCGAACCGCCAAAACATGTTTTTTTTTAAATGGAATTTAATCAAAACCTGTTGTAGAATTGTACCGTCTGTCTATTCATATTACACCCTCTTATTCTCTCTTTTAATTTTTCTGTTATTGAGGTTTTTGTGATAATTCAAATGACCCAATTTTTTGCGAGGATGGCGGTGAAATTGCTGGGAATCTTAAAAGCAAAACAACCGATATTGTCCATAAGTCACCATTTGCTGTTAGTCTGACAGTGATAATTAAATATTGATTTGTAAATTAATGGAAAAAACCGCATTCAAATGCTGATATTTAAAATGTATTACTATTCATGGGTAGTGCAATTTATATAAGATATATAAATAGAACATGCAAAATTTTTTACCCCAATTTACTACTAATAAGCAGAAAGACATTATGAATTTTAAGAAATCAATCAAATCATAATTAATAATTTAAAAAAATAACCATGAAAATACTGAATGACATACCAATATTTGTCGTTTGAGACACATTTGATGATATTTTTAATGAATGGAAGAACACTGCAAATATTGGAGAAAATCGAAATTGAACCCCTACAATGCCTATATCGGTGAAAAGGGAATTTGATTTTCTGTAATATGGTGCAAAAATACACGGCGTTCCATTTGAATTAACAAAGTTATAGCTGTTTGAAGTTATCGAAATGTAACACCAAAAATGAAACACCTAGTATTAATTGTTTTAATTTGTTGGTATGCCATGACTTAGTGTGACCTATGCCCTCTACAGGTACCAAAAATCTACTTGATATCACGCTCTTAAAAAGAGTTACTGACATCTCCGCGGACCCTTGCATCTGCCAAATTTTTTCTTTAAAAATTAATATCTCAAAATCTATAACTCCAAGGTACCGGGAATATTTAATAAACTGACCCTCAAATTTCACGTAGAATTTGAAAATGCGGTAATATATAAGGTGTCCCATTTAAAATAAGAAAGTTAATGTCGACTTCCAGTATAACCGAAAATGCCATAAACTTCTAAATATTTTAGCTGTGTTGGCCCTTGCTAGGTTGCCAAATTTTCAGATTTATCGGATCAATACTTTCCGAGATAACGACAGTGGCAATTCCTGGTGGGACAACCTGTATTAAAAAGTGAAAAATTTATTGTCATTATTTTAGTTATGAAAGTTTGGAATTAGGCTTATTTCACCCTGTAGATGAAAAGTTATATAAAGTTTCAACCCTTAAAAACCACCCTTATTGATAAAAATATAAAATTAATAGTTTCTTTGACCTTAAAATATTTTTATAACTTATATACTCGTATAGATAGAAATTTTTTCAATAGTTTATGGTATTATAAATAATTTATTAGAATATTTCAACCCATAAAAAACTACTAATAACAAAATATAAAAAAAATAGTGTTTAACTGTTTGAAATGATTTGATGGTACAAACAGGATAAATTAAATTCTTTTACCTGTTTATATTACAATTTATAATTTATCGCAAAAACAAAATACAAAAAAAATTGAGTTTACCATATTACAACTTTATCAAAGTTGTGGATAACCAAAATATTGATATACTCCGAAAATTGAAGCGGTAAGGTACCGTTGGTTTTTTAACGATAACTTCCTTAATTTTAAAGCTATTAAGACAATCCAAAAACGATTTTCGGAAAATTTCGTAAAAGCCAGAAAAAATTGAACAATTTAGCAAAATTTCGGGTTTTTCCGGATATCTCCGGAACTACCCGGAATTTTAAAACTTTCTAAACAGCACATTGTTAGGTATAAAAAAACAACTTTTTTCTAATCTGAGCTGCCTCGTATCTTTTACTGTTTCCTAGATCCTAATGCGATAGGGATACTGGGATACCATCCTTATCTTGAACACACTTATATCTATGAATTCAACAAACTTTAAAAAAATTAGTACACGAATCGAGACACTAATCTATCCTACAGAAAAAAAATATTATTTATTTTATTCACTATTCGACTTATGTTTATAGCAATACTGTATAAAACTAGTTTTGGATCAAACAATGAGACAGTTTTTTTTATTTTTTTCCGTAGAATTGAATGGTGTAATCAGTTTTTGATGCAAGTCATTTTTTACTTTTTTGCATTTTTGAGCATGTTTTTGAGCTGTGATTATAACTTTTTTTATTTCACCAAAAAGTATATGTCAAAACGAAAAAAATGATTACCGGCAGAATTCTATATGATGATTTTTTTAAGTAGAATTTTTCTTTGAAAAAAAAGTGTTTCAGGCCGAAAAAATAGAATATCTCAGAAACTCTTGATTTTTTTATCTAAAAAAAATTGAGGTTATTTAAGATAGAGAAAGGTATACTTTCACCAAGTTTCGTCAAAATTAAATTATTTTTGCAGAAATGAGAAATAAAAAACGAAAAATCAGAAAAGATCTGTTTTTCGCATTTTTCTCGGAAATTTTGAGGTGATGTTAAAAAGTGAC